GGAAGAAGCCTTCTTTCCCCCAAATTCGCTGTCTCTTCCAGGCGACCCTGGGTCAACCCGGTGGTGATGGTAGTGTGTCGGTGGGGATCAGGGTGGTGATGGGGTCATGTAAACTAAAACACCCTCTGGATAGTTCACAGAAATTCATGAGTCATCGCTACCTTGTAAAACCCCAGTGGGTTAGCTGGCGGTGCAGACAATATTTGTGAACCTTTAAAAAAAATTTTTTTTGAAGAGGAAAGCTCCTCCTCTGATCCCAGTTTCACTGTGAAAAGCAAACCCCCCATCCCCCCAGCAGAGTCAGCTTTGTGGCTTAATTACTGTGCAACAGAGGACAGCTTACTCAACCTCTCTGTTTTCTTCAAATAAACATTTTTTTTTCCTTCAAATTATGAGGGAATTATATGTTCACTGAAAGTGTTGTCTGAAACTTAAAACCGAGACCATGTTGGACGTAGTTTATATCGTGCTCTTTTTTGCTCAACATCTTATTTTGAACATTTTCCCATGTCATTACTCCTTAAAGTCACATTCCTAATGGCCACACAAACATCCTCCATGTGGCTGAGCCAGGCTTATTTACCCTTTCCCTCGCATTTGGCCGCTTGTGGCTGCACCCCGTGTTCTCATATGTGAAATGGGCACAGGTGTGCCATGACGTCCAATGCAATGCCCCACCTGTGCACTCATGCAGTCACTCATGTGACGGGTCCTTCACGAGCCTATGGGCCTGAGCTGGAGCAGGACATGACCTTGTCCCAGGCCTGCCCTTGGCAGGAGGGTCTCAGGGGCTGTAGACTATGGACTCCATCTAGTACAGGCCATCTGTACCAGAGCAGCCTCCTCAGGACGCTGAGGCCTCTTATGTCTAAACCCACATTCCTCTCCGGGGCTATTTTGCCATTTCCTTTCATGCTCAACCAAAGGGGCTATTTTGGAAACTCCTGTAAGCAAACTAAGCCCTGGCTGGCATTTGAGCGGATATAAGAGAGCCCTAAGTGAGGGGCTCAGGCATAAAAGCTGCCCAGCCCTGAGAGCCCAGCCATTAAATTTAGAAGCCTTACCTCCAAATGAGGTGAAATTGCAGGTTCCCTGTGGCGGGCGGGTGGCTTTGGCCAGCAGTGAGCAGGACAGATTTAGCGGAGGGGGGCTCCGGCTCCCCCCAGCCACACCTTGGGGAAAGACGCCAAGGACAGTCCCCAGTGTCTGGGGAGCCGTTGGCTGTGAGAGAAGCCCCTTCAGCTGGCTTGTCCCCGCTGCGCCCACCAGCTGCTTCCGAGGGGCATTGTCAGCAAGTGCTGCCCGGGTTGCCAGGCCAGAGAGAGGCAGCGAGGGACACAAGGAGAGGCAGTTTTGTCTGCCACCCAAGGTTTGGGACCTGCATGACTTCTGTGCCTCCCTTCTCTCCCAGGGGCCGGCGAGGTCGCTGGCCTGTCTTTCATGCCCTTTGGGGTGCCAGCTGTCCAGAGATACCCTGAGACACCCCAGTGCCCCTCTCCAGGGACTTCCCAGAGCTGCACACAATCCAGCAGCTAAAGGGTTCATGCCAGCCACAGCAGGGGAGGATGGTGGAGGGGGCCTGAGGGGGACTTTTCTGAGTGGTCTGTGCTCCTGTCATGTCAATGATTAAACTGGAATATCATTCTTGGTCAAAGGTGACCAGCATTCATGGGGGCTGCCCACTGAGGGCACCCGAGACTCCTGGGGTCTCGGCCAGGCCATCCCATCCCATCCTCAGTCCTCCAGCGGGGAGAGATGGCAGATCCAAAAGGACCCACAGAAACCTGGGTTCCCGCACCCTGAAGCCTGCCGGGTATAAGGCTTGCTTTTTCTCGGCCACCCCCCAGGGCTACATTTCTAGCTTGGCAGGTCCCCTTAATGAACCTACTTCCATCTGGGGCCCCCTTTTCTCCCCCTCAGCCTGGGTCTGGCTCCTGGGAGAGGGGTGTGGGTAGCCTCTGCTCAGCCCCTGGGAAGCCAGTGCAGCGTAGCATGAAGTGGCCAGGCGCTGGAGTCCATCGTGCCCAGGTTCAAATCCCGGCTCTGGCGTTTCCTACCTGCGTGACCGTAGATGAGTCATTTCACACCCCTCTCTGAGCCTTGGTTTCTTTGTCTGCAAAATGGGGATAATAACAGCATTTGCGTCCTACAGTGTGGGGAGCATTGAATGAGATTTTAGGCCCTTAGCACAGGTAGCAGGCAGAGTGCTGGCTACCCAGGGTCACCCATCGGTAGCTGCTCCTTTTGCAAATAAAGTTTTATTGGAACACAGCCATGCTCATCATTTACGTATTGTTTGTGGCTGCTTTTGTTCTAAAACGGTAGCGTCGAGTCATTGTGACAATGACAGCATGGCCTGAAAAGCTAAAAATATTTACTATCTGGTTCTTTGCAGAAGAGTCTAGCAGTGGTGGAAAGCTTTAGCCTAATCCTTGTCCCCAGCCTTCCACTGCCTGCGCTTCAGGCTGTACCTCAGCCTTTCAGTCATTGTTCTCTGGCCTCATGAGAGTGTGTTGCGAATGTTCCCCCAGCACCGGGGCTGGTTCCAGAGTTGGGGTCTCACCCTTGACCTTGGGGGTCTCCCTTCCTGCTCCTGTCTCATTCCCTTGCCCAGCTTGGCTGGGGGCAGCCAAACAGTTTGAGAAGTTTCCCAGTGTCGCCCAGAGCAGGAGCTGAGACGTGGTGGGGGGCGGTGGAATGCTCATAAATGTTTAAAAACCAGCAGGAAACAAAGCCCTAATTTGTAAGGCTTTCCGGTTTCCATGGTGTAAATATTTCTACCGTGGCTAATTGCAAGCTACCAAAATTCCGAAAATTTAACAATCCACTCACGTGAGCTGCGGTCTGTGGTCCAAGCTATAGCAGCACAGTGCAGGTGGGGGCCGTGGGGGGCCTCCCTCCCTGTGGGGCCGGGGCACATCCTAGAGTGCTGGACACCCGACCTATCACAGTCAGAGCTGGCACCTGCCTGACACTGCTGCTTCCGAGCTGGGGTCCGTGGGCCAGGCTATCACCTCTCTGAGCCTCAGTCTCCGCATCTGTCGAATTAGGTTAGCCTTAGCTCCTAAGCTTAGGGGGGCTGTGTGGATTTTAATAAGATAGTTTACATAAGTCATTTAACCAGGACTGGCTTAATAAGAAGCACTCAATAAATAATATCTCCATCACCAGATTACCTCAACCTCCCTATGTGTACGCAGTGCTATTATTCATGGATTTATAGCAGGTGACAGTCCCTGGCAGCAGGACTTGCCACACAGTGGGCGCCTGGCAAATGCTTGCCAGCTTCCCTTGTCAGGGCTAGAAGTCACCTACCTCCATGGCAGGGGTCTTGGTCTTGGTCAGAACAAGGGCACAGGGACGAGCTGTTTCTGAGTGTCTCTTGCATCGCGTGCTCCCAGCACATTGTCCCCTTGGTCCTTTTCTGAATTTCCACTTAACAGATGTGATCACTGAGGCCCCAAGCCTGTGAGTGCGAGCACAGCTACAGCTGGGATTTGAGCTCAGGCCTGGATTTTTTGTTTCTGGTGCTCCCCTATGTGCAGCACACGTGGGGTGGTGGGGTGAGGGATACATAGGAAAAGGGGAAGATTTGTGGGGGCTGCACGGATCTGCTGGATGGAAAGTGGGGGGCTCAGAGGGTGGGCTCTGGAGTCTGTGGCAAGGGCTGACTACAAACAAAACGCACAACTGGACACTGGGGACATTATTTCAGGCAGAGGCCCCGAAATGAGCAAAGATGTGGAGACTGGACTCTGCTGGAGGGGAAGGGGATAGTGGAATGCAAGGGCCTCACCAGGCGGGAATAGAAGGGAGCTGGAGTGAAGCTTTTTCATAGGTTTGGCCTGGGCAGTGGGGTCCCTGGAATCGTTGGACTGACCCATCCCTGGCTGAGGAACGAGGTATGAAACTGTAGCAGCAGAGATTTAGGTTAGATATGGAGAACTTTCCGATTGACCATGCCGAAAGACGCTGGGCGGTAGTCCCAAGGGATGTGGTGGCATTTTTCCAATCTAGAGATGGTTTGGAAAAAAAAGAGAAGGCAGCCAGGGTTCTAGTCTGGCCTCATTGCAGGCTGGGTCAGAGTTGGAGCAATGGATCAGGGTGGGGGGGCTTCTGGAAATCTCTGATGCCTGTAGCCTGGCCTCCTGTGAATTGGGCTTTGTCACCTCCTGCTCAAAACCTTCCTGTTGCTCCCAGGTATCCTTGCCCAATTGTAAAGCAAAAGTCTTTCTGGGGGCTACCAAGGCCCCCCATGACCAGTGCTCTGCTGGCCTCTCTGTCCTCACCTGGAGCCACATCTCAAGCCCTTAACTTCTTTCTGTATCTGGATTACACCATGCCCTCTGCACCTGCAGGCTTTGGCGATGCTGTTCCCTGTGCCTCAGATACCCTTCCCTGCCTTCTCCTTCTCCTTCTCCCCTCCTCAGCCTTTCCTTCTCAGCTCTTGGTTGCCTCCTCCATGGCTGGATCATGGATCCCCGGGCTGTCCCATCTCTTCACTGTAGACTCCCGACTATAACTGTCTAGTGGCTCGTTGGCCTCCCTGCTGGACCAAGAGCCCTGGAGGGCAAGGACTCTGCCCTTCTTGCTCAGTGTGTGTTTCCAGGGCAGTGTCTGGCATGCAGTCGGTGCTCACTGAGGGTTTGTGCAGAGGTGAGGATTACTGGCAGAGAGGAGTAGCTGAGGAGAGGTGAGGAGAGCTGGGCTCTGCGGGCGCTGTCTCTCCCTGCAAGAGGACACAGCATTGCTCAGGCATAACGCGCTCCAGCCCCGCGTGCTGAGACCTGGGTTCCAATCTTGCTCCTACCACTTCTGCCAAGCAGGTTCCCTAACCCCCTGAGACTGAGTTTTGCCATCTGGGAGCTGGGGACAGTACCGGCCACCTGTCTCTGTGGCTGTTGTAAGGACCTTGGGGGCCATGGTGGAGGGTGGCCAGCCTGTGGTTGGTACTCACCAGGTGGCCATGCGAGGCTGACTCTCCTGTCCTCTCCCTGCAGGTGACAGCCATGTCGGTGAGGGTGCGGTTCCTGTCCTCCAGGGACACAGGGGCCGTGGGGGTTGTGGGCCGGAGCGCCTCCTTCGCCGGCTTCAGCAGCGCCCAGAGCCGCAGGATCGCGTAAGTTGTGCCAGTGCTGTGGGTGTGGGGCTGTTCCAGGGCTGGGCGGGGGCGGCAGGGACACCCTCTCCTCGCTGCCAGGGACTCCAAGCCTTGCTCTCTTGCCAGGCCTGCAGCCTAGGATAGAAAGAGAGAGGGAGGGAGGGAGGAAGGGAAGGAGGGAGGGAGAGAGGAGAGAGAGAGAGAGAGAGAGAGAGAGAGAGAGAGAGAGCGAGCGCGCCTGACTTCTGGTGTTGGAAGAAACCCATCAGGCCCACTTGGCAGAGCAGAAAACTGAGGCTCAGAGAGGTGGAGCTGCTCACTCAAGGTCACACAGCAAGGCTGATTTAGAGTTGGAACTTAGGCTCCTGGGGGCGGGGTTAGGATGGAATGTTTTCCTGTTTGATAGAATGGGAAATGGGGCCACCTATCCCAGCTCTGTGACCTGGGGCAAGTGACATCACCTCTCTGAATCTCAGTTTCCTCATCTGTGAAATGGAGACCACGACTGTCCCTCCCTCGTGGGGCTGTCATGAGGGTGCAATGAGGTGACACATGCCATGCAGCTGACACATGCCAACACATAGTAGGTGCTTATGGAAAGCTTTCAAGGAGGAGCAGCTGCTGCAGAAACAGGCCTGGGGTCAGCGCTGAGCCTCTGGGCATGAGTTCATGGCCAGGTCACCGTGAGTTTCCTCCAGCTGTAGGTAATCCCCAGGAGGAAGGTGTGTTTCTGCTCCGGGGGGCCACAGCCCCGTCAGCCTAGGCCTGTCTGGTTCCCTGACTCCAGGGCTTCATCCCGGACACTGTGCAAACCTCTGGGGAGTCACTGCCAGCTGGCAGGACTGAGGGTGGGGCAGCCCCTCAGGCTCCTGAGGGGCCCAGACGTCTGCCTGTGTGAGCAAACGTGGTGGACGGGTAGGACCCACAGCCAGAGCAGGAAACAGAACCTGGTTGGTCAGTGAGTCGGTCAACAAGCAAATCTCATCATGGTGTTTCCTCCCACGTAGAATACAACCCAGCCCCCTCGTGTAACGTCCCTGTGACCTGGCTGGCCAGCCTCATTTTAACCCTGTGCTTTTGCCACATGGGCCCCTCTCCCCTCGGGACCTTTGCCGGCTATGCCCTCTACCTGGAACTCTCTTCCCACTCTCCACCTGGCCAATTCCCCACTGAATTGTCTGTGGACCTTGGCTTCAATGCCATGTCCTGGGGGGACTCCCCTGAGCCCCAGCCCAGGCCGTCACATAGTTCTTCCCCTCAGGTTCAACAGCTGCCCATCAGACCCCCGTGATGCCGGGCCCATGGTCAGGCCCTCCTAGCTCACTCACCTTCTCCTGCTGCTCAGCTCTGAGGTGTGCCTGGGAGGAGTGGCTTCCCAGGGAGTGCCCCAGCTGGAAACCCCCTTGGGAAGCCCTAATTCATTCCATATGTACAGAGCACCCACTCTGGCCAGCCCGTCCAAGCTCTGGAAAAAGACCCAGGCTCTGCCCTCCTGCCAGGGCAGCAAACAACAAGCAAGTCACCAAGATGGATTCAGCTGGTGGCAGGTGCTGTGGAGGGGGACCCAGGGGAATGCAGGAGGGCAGCAGGGGTCTCGGAGGAGGCATTCAACAAGGCAAGGGTGTGGTTAAGAGAAGGCCAAAGAGAAGCGAAGGAGCTAATCATGTGCAGACAGCAAGTGGGTGTGTGGCCAGCATGTGGGGCAGTGGTGAGAGAGGGCGGGGGGGCCCTGCAGGGCCTCGTGGATCACCGTGAGGACATTCACACTGTGAAGGGAGTCACGGAAGGGCTGAAGCAGAGAAGACTGAGGCCCCTAAAACCGTTTCTGAGCTGCCTCTCTCTGGACTTCATCCAGGTCCCCCATCCTAGAGGCTTGGCAAGCAGGGCTGCGAAGGACAGCTGTGCAGGTCGCCGGGCCAAGGGGCACATCCAGCCCATGTGACCCACCCAAGCTATGCGTGCTGGCATGGAGCTGGTCCACTCGGAGGGCATCTCTCTCTAATCACACAGGCACTGCGGGGACTTTGTCCCTGTGATCTGGCAGCAGAGAGGGGCCTGCAGACTGGCACAGGGTCCCTTGAGTCGATTTAACGTTCTACTGTCTTCATCCAGAAATTTTTAATAAGTTTTGAACCAAGAGCCCTGCGTTTTCATCTGCACGGGGCCTCAAGAATTCTGGGGCGGGTCCTGCCGGCAGCTCTCCTCCTGTCAGGACTTTGGGGGCCTCTGGACTCCCCAAATCCATGGGAAATGTCCCCTCAGGCCCTAGTCAGGAACTCTGCCCAGAAAGTGCCCCCAGGTGGGCCCCCAGCCTCTTGCCTCCCGCCCCCTTCCAATTCCTGGGGTCAGCACTCTAGGTAGAAAGAGAACAGAGAGGGTCTGACCCCATGACACGGGCTCATGAGTCAGCAGCAAGGATAAGAGGCAGGTCCTACAAAGTCTGTATCCTAGTCTGAGAAAGAGGGGCCCTGACAGCTGTAACTGTCATGGACACCTCCTGTGGGCTCCTCCTCCTGGGGGGTCCCCCCTCAGGAAACCCTGGAGGATGCCTGGCCTGGGAAGGTTCTGCGGTCCCTGAGTGGCCACCATCTGACCTCAGCCTCTGCAGTCCCCTGTCCGTGAGTGAGGAAGAAGGTGCCCACAATGACCGGGAGGAAGCACATCTATTTTTAACTTCCTGTCTCTGTCCAACTCCCAGGGGTCAGGGCCCTTGGTTCTGGGGCTGGACGGCCTGGATTGGGTTTCAGGCCTCACCTTCTGGCTTTACTTCCCAGGTAATCCAACCAGGCTGAAACACAGCCACATTGCCAAGGCACTCAGCGGCTGGCATGGGTCAGGCAAAATAATCTTAGACGGAGAGCAGGGCTCTACTTAGATGGGGTGGGTATATACCCCTTTTGTCCCTCACCCCCACCCCTGCTCTGGCACCTGAGATCCTTTTGACCTTGGACGGGGCTTTTTATTCCATAATCAAATAATTCACTTGGGGAAGTAATCTGGTGGGGGAGCTTTACACTAAGGTTTGAATGGTTGCTATAATAAAGCCATATATAATCAGGTGGTGGTGGGGGGGGCCGGGGGCGGGTAAGGAGGGGCCAGACCCTGACCCTGTCCCATTCTGTCCTGATTGACAGGCACCGCTGCTCTTAACCCCTTCTTGCCCCTCCTCAGCCAGATCTCCCTTCCCCCAGGCTGTCAGGTACCTACCTTCCTGATCCCAGAGACATTGCGATACCCTGGTCACCTTGGGAATTCCTCATTTGGGACAACTGAGAGCTGTAGATGTGAAAACTCAAGAGCAAGCCTTGACTTTCAAGGCGAGGGAACTGAGGAGAGAGGAGACAGCTGAGGTGCTCATGCTGCCCTGTGGGAGTGGAGCCCGACTCCGGGGACCTCCGAGTATGTAAGGAGGAGTGGGCTAGTCTGTGTGAAGTGCCCAGAGCAGTTTGACCTTTGCGAGTGTTTGGTATCAACCCCGCCCATCTAGTACCACCAGACACAGGAGAAAAGGTTAGATGACACCGTTGTTACACTGAGTCCCCACCTGAAGTGTCTTCAGTCTGTCCTATAATTGCCCCACGCACACCCCGAGCCCCACCTGGGGGCAAGGGGCAGGGGGCAGGTACGGACTTGAGCCCTGCCTGCCTCCAGAGCTGGCACTTGCCGCAGCCACGCACCAGAGCCTCCGACGAAGGATTTCTCCATGACACCAGGCAGAAGGACTGCCCCCGTGGCCTCATGTGAGGGCTGGGGCCAATAGGTTGCACATGCCCATCTGGAATCTTGCCTGGCATGCCAGGGACTGTTTAATATTTACTGAGTCCTCCCAGGGCTGGTGAAACATCCGCCCCAGAGGTGGCTCTCTGCCCTGGCAGTTGTGACACCGGGCCAGACATGCAGCCTGAATTCACCATCCGGGGGCTGCACATGCATCACCTCCCCTGGCTGGACCGGCTCTCAGAGTGGCCGCCACACCTGCCCTATTGAAGCTCAGCCAGGAGCACTGGGCTCAGAGCTTCCCCAGGAGCCGGCACTTCCAGGCACAGCCACAGCCGCAAGGGTGAGGAGGCCTTCAGGTAGATGGAAGGGGGGCCTGGCCGAGGGCACGCACCTGCCAGGGACTCTGGGCCCCTGGGAGCTGGCAGGTGAGTGTAGCTCCCACCTCAACGCTGCTTGCTCACCCCACCTGCCGGGGACCCTGGCCTGTGTAAAACCTGCCTCTCACGAGGCTGCAGCCCTGCCGGTCTCTGCTGGCCTGCAGATGGCAACTCGGTGGAGGGTCTAAGAGGGAGGGTGAGGGGGGAGGAGCACAGCCCCTACCTGGTCATATAATAACAGCAACAGCAGGTACAGAGATGAGCACTAATGATATACAGGCGGCACAGCCCAGGGCTCTGTGCACATGCCTTTATTCTACCACCTGCTGGAGGAGCCTTCCCGGCTCACCCTACTTAAACTCATCACCCTGCCTTGTCTTCTTTCCTCAGCGCTAGGCATTATCTGATATCTGATTTTTTAAACGATCTTATTTGACTCTGACACAGACATGGTGCTCACTCTTTGCCAGGCACTGCTTGAAGTCCTTTACATTATTAACTTAGTGCTGTGTAACTCTCACGGCAGTCCTTCCTCTGGTCCCCATTTTACAGATGAGAACATTGAGGCCCAGAGAGGGTCAATAACTTATCAAGGTCATACAGCTTGGAAGTGGGGGAGCCGGATAGAGACCCTGGTGTCTGGCTCCAGAGCCTGTGCTGGTTCCCACTTCCCACGGTCCGCCCCCCCCCCCCCCCCCCAGCTGGCACGGCAGCACACGGAGGCAGGGGTTTTGTCTGTTTGGGTCACTGTTCTACTCCCAGCCCCTAGAATGGCTTCTGGTGCACAGCAGATGCTAGGTAAATATCTGCTGAATGAATGACATCTCATGACAACTCAGTGGGGCAGGTACTCGTGTTATCCCCCTTTCACAGATGAGGAAACTGAAGCCCCCGTAGGTTAAGTACCTGTGACCTCTGGGGTGGGGATTTGAACAGGGCAGCTGACCAGGAGTTTGTGTCCCATGAGACAGTACAGGCTCCTAGCTTGGTAAGTCCCCTGAGGGTCCAGGGTGGGGTTCTAGAGCCTTCCTTGCTGCAGCTTCCGCTGGGACCAGCTCCCAGCGTGCCTGGGCAGGGCCTGAGGTCTGTATTCCTGGCGTGTTGGTTTGCAGTGCGGCTGTGCAGCATAATGGGGAACCCCTGGTCTTGGGGGTTGGTCCCATCAGCAGGGGCGGCCAGGACGGCTCCTCTCTGTTGAGTCAACAGCAGGTGTCTGCATCCGTGTGTGGAATGTGCAGCACCTGGCTGGGCTGGAGGTACAGCTTGGGGGACCAGGGCATGGCGGGGGACCAGCGGCCCTTCTCTCAGGCCTGGAAAGGAGCTGGAGCTGTGTCCCGCTTGCCTCCTGCCTGGCTCTCCAGACTACAATCCCCCCTCTCCCTGTGGACTGTGAGCCCTTGAGGGTGGGACCCTGGCCCCTCGGCTTTCATTATGGTGCCTGACCCGGGAAAGCCCCGCTCTGTGACTGTTTGAATGAATGAATGCATGAGTCCTGTGCCCCTGACTTTAGACCTCAAAAGTGCAGCAGACTCTGAGGGGTTCCCAGGGAGACATGGAGCTGGATTTCTGACAACAGGACATCTCCTGAGGGGAGCAGAAATGGTGACTCCCCCAAGACCATGCTCCTCAAAGTGCGGTCCCCGGACCAGCAGCATCACCAGCACCTGGGAACACGTTAAAATGCAAATTCTCAGGCCCCGCCCCAGGCCCCGCCCCAGACTCATAAATCTGAAACTGGTGGGGTGGAGAGGTCAGCAGTCCGGGTCTAAGTCCTCCAGGAGATTCTGAGGACCCTGAGAACCCTGCGCCTCACGCCCCGCTGTGTGGTCAAGATCCCAGCCTGAGGATCTGTATACATGTGGGTGTGGTCCCAGCTCCGTCACCTACATGATCTGAGCCCCTGTTTCCCTACCTTGCAATGGGACTAAAATGAACACCCGCCTCCTAGGGTGGCTGTGAAAGTCGATATTTGTAGAGGTGAAGATGCTTTGACAAAGAAACCCTCCCCCTCCAAATACAGGGGCTTATGGAAGGTCGGTTACCCCTGCGTCTCTCATAGCGGTGTCGAACCAATGGGTGGTCTGCACCCCCAGGCTGTTCCTTCTCCCTGGTGGCTCAGCAGTCCATGTGAGGGCCCTCATGTACATGGTTGAAGCTGGCTCCTCAGTGCACCTGAGCAAGAAGGAGAGAAAGGGGGAGAAGTTGGAGACGATGGCTAGCTGCTCTCCTTTGAAAAATTGACCCCGTGCCAATGTTAATGTCGTGTCCACCCTTGTTTCTTGTGAGAAGATAGTCCTGAGGCCAAACCTGCTGCAGGGGCATATGCGAAACACTATCTTTAGAGGGATAAGATGGACTTACGCACATCTGGTGGCAGCGTCAGCCAGCCCTGGCCTCAGCTTAGCGGACAAGGCATAGGATTATAAGATGCCGGGAGAGGCTTAAATGCCAATGAAAGCAGCTCTGTACTGTAATGAGGGCACCCTGGCCCTGTGCTACTGTAATCAATTCTGAAATGCCTGTACATCACCGCTGGGCTCATCCGGTCCACACTCCCAACTCCAACAGAGTTTCTGGCCTGACTTGGTTCCCATGCCTCTCCCTGGGCCAGGCGAGTGGACTATATTGACTAACTTGGGCCTGGGACATGGCTTTGCCTCAGAATGACTGTGTGCGCACGTGCATGTGCCTGTGTGCATGTGTGTATTGTATTTTTGTGTATTGGTTTTGTCAAGCCACCTCCCTCCAAACCACATGTATAAAGAGCTGTGCTGGGGAGGTTCCCCAGAGGAAAGCTGAGGTGCTATCAACAGAAGGAGGTGGATGGATGCTGGGCAGGCAAAGCCAACATGCGCCCACCCCATGGGCACACCGCAGAACTATGACTTGGCTTCCCATGTTGCTTTGCCGGCCCAGACGAAGCACGCTGAACAGAAAGCACGGGCATTTGGGCTGCTTGATTGTATTTCTCACTACAAGTGAATGTCTCATATCAGGTTATTAGTATTAGTATTCTTTTAATCCCCAAATCCAAGCCTTCATTCTACAGATAAGGAAACTGAGGCCCAGAGAGTCTTGGCAACTTCCCCACGATCATGCCGCTTGGTGGCACCTGGGTGGGATGCAGCCAGGTCTCCTGGCTACTTAGGGTTCTGGCCACTGTTCCCAAAGGGCCTGCCCCTGGGAAGGGCTTTGTCTGAATCCCTGCTCTGACCCCCCAATCCCTTCTCACAGAAAGTCCATCCAAAGAAACTCGGTGAGGTCTCGAATGCCTGCAAAATCCTCCAAGATGTACGGCACGCTGCAGAAGCGGCCTGTCTGCCCGGACTCCAAGACGCAGGAAGTGAAGAAGATCTTTGAAGCGCTGAAGAGAGGCCTTCAGTAAGGACAGGCTGTTTGTGGCCTTTAAAAAGTGCACTCTTTGGCCTTGCCTGCCTGATCATCTCTGCTTCTTCCTGGGAAACATGGTGGGGTCTTGTCTGTATGAGGCCACAGAGGGAGCTCCAGGTTATTCATTTAGATGGGAAGCAACTTGCCCAGGATCCCTGGCCAGAGGCCCAGGACCAAAGCTGACCTGTCCTGCTGTCCGCTTTGGGCTCGGGGTTAACGCCACCTCCCCCCAACCCACTCCTCACCACACAGGGGACATCCCTCCCCCTCCTCCCATGATGCACCTGGTGCTGGTGCACAGTGGGAGCTGAGGGTGTGTATCTGGAGGGTGGAGGCCTGTCTCCAAGGCACTCATTTCCCAGGACAGCTTCTGGTGATTTCCGTAAGACTGCACCTTTCAGACTTGTCTGGGGCAGCATCTCCTTCTTTCTGGGGAGCCCAACCTCTGAGTGAGCAGTGCCTGGTAGAAAGTGGTATAAATAGGCCCAGAGAGGGTGAGTCACCTTCCTGGGGTGACCCAGCAAATCTATGATGGAGCCCCACCCCAGCCCCCAAGTCCAGACCTCAGGTTCCCTGTCCAAGCCTCTTTGGCTGGAAAACACAATGTGAGAAGTTCCCTCCTGGCGCATGGCTTTTTCTGTGCTTCCCAGAATGAGTTTTCCAGGCTCCTGTCTGGTCTTTGGCTCTGGGCATCTGGACAGCAGAACGGCCTGCCCTTGCCCGAGACGGGGGCCGGCTCTTGCTGACCTCGGCAGGGGCTGGGGTGAAGATACAGGCCTCGGAGGCCACTGCCTGCTTTCAGACCTGGGTCAGCCTCTTCCCTGCCATGTGACCCTGCGCTGGGTTACTTGCCATCTTCAAGGGTCCGTTTGTCCATCTCTAAAATGGGTTTAATAACAGTAGAACCTGTTTGTGAGGCTGTTTGTGGGAATTAACAGAGCGATTCCCCATTTTTACAGCGCCGGGCACGTGGCCCAGTGTGTGGGATCTGGAGGCTGAGCAGATGGGGCCAGGATTCCAGGTGGGCGGGAGGGCCCTGCCCTCTGACCCCTGAGCCTGCTGAGAGCCACAGCTGTGGCTGCCTGCGCTCTGGGACACCGGTCATCGGCCTGTTTCTTTTTCTCTTCTTGTTCCTTTCCAAATTCCTTTTCTTCATTCTCTTCACAGGGAGTATCTGTGCGTCCAGCAAGCAGAGCTGGATTACCTGTCAGGACGCCACAAGGACACCCACAGGAATTCCAGGCTGGTGAGACCCCTTCCTAGGCCCTTCCTACCCAAGCAGCCTTGGCTGGGGTTCAAAGATGGACCCTTCCTCATCCCCTTGCCAGCACCATGGGTGCACATCTGTCTCGGAATTCAGAGGCCTAAGGAAGGGACTTGCTTTATTTTGGGATGATTTTAATCTCACAGGCTGGTGGGAAGCTGCCCCCGACCGCCCCCCCCCCCGACATGGTACAGAGTTCACACTTCCGATGGCCCACGTCCATTCTCTCTTTGGTTCTAGAAGTAATTAACTAAGGCTGGCAGGTGTGTAGAGGTACCTGTTTGAGATGGCCCTGTTTTATAGACCTTGGCCATCCTGAAATCGGGGTGGCTCATGTGATGCCAAGAAATTGGGTCAGGCGTCGAATCTAGGGTGTGTCACGGTGGCCTGCGATGCTGTCCTCTATCAGCCCTGCATGTCTCCCCATCACCCAGCGGCTCTGCACTTCCTGCCATCTCACGGGCCGTGTCTGCGAGGCTGCTCTGGGACCTGTCTAGCCCGAGACCCACGTGCTCTGGGCTTCCGCCACCCCTTTAGCACAGCCGGATTCCGCAAAAAAAAAACAAAACCCAAAACAAACAAAAACAAAATCAAAACAAATAAAAAAATCAAGACCAAAAACAAACAAGAAAATAGGACGCCCAGTTAAATGTGATTTTCAGATAAATAACTGATACTTTTTCCGTGTAAGTTATGTCCCATGCAATCTTTGGAACATAGTTATGCTAAAAATATATATTATTTATTAGAAATGTAAGTGGCTGTCCGGTATTTTACCTGCTCACACGACCAAGACCTTCTGCCGGGGACTTCATCCCCCTAGTGGGGAGGTGCTTTCTTTCTGGAATTCGGAGGTCCCCAGCCCCTATTCCCCAACTTTCTATCCTTAATGGGATTAGAAACAAAAGCCAGGAGGCCTTGCTGCCTGTGGGTTCCTCCAACCTGCCAGCTTATTTCCAGCATCCCTTCCCTAAAGAGCCAAAGTGTAGAGCAGGGGTCAGAAAAATGGGGAGCGGAAAGGAGCCCTATCAGAGCAGCAGCTGGCCGCCTCTGTATCCTGGCTCCAGTGGAGAGGACTTGGGGGGTTGGCAGGGTGGGAGCCCCACGAATGTGCCAGATGCTTTGGGAAGGGAAGGCGGAGGGCTCAGTCAGGCCTCGCCCTTGGTGGGTGGGTGGCCACGCACATGACGGAAGGAGGCACAGCCAAGAAGACCTCACCCCCAGTTCCCAGCCTTCCCAGCAACCATCCCACCCCTCCCGCACAGATACAGCGGTTCTCACGTCCTCCCGTCTCTCTCGGTTCTAGAAGAAAATGTAAGGTAGGCGAGTGTATAAAGGTTTGTACGTTTTAGCTGCTCCCACTTCATAGATGGGCACACTGAGGCCAAGCGACGGGCCGTGGCTGTACCAGGGCCACGCGGCGCGACGACGGACGTGGAGTCCTGCTTCCCTGGTCGCTGCTGGTTCTTGGTTTCTGAGAAGTTGCTGTGCGGTTACTCCTCCTCAAAGGCTTGGGGACTTTTCTTGTTCTTTATTTCCTACAGGGCACTTTAATTTCACAATCCCACACATACAATGTCACATAAATGAATACATGGACAAACACAGGCTTTTGGGGGGTTTAATTCATCTTCCTCTTTGCTTGACACCTCCCTATCCTTCACCCCCCCCCACACACACACACACACATACACCCCGACCTTCTCTGTCCCACTCTGTTTAACTCTGAGGACAATCTAGCGCTTACCTTCCCATGTTTTTCTCCCTGGTCACAGAATCACATAAACATACACACAAGTGCGTATAGAGGGTTTTGGTCCACAGTTGCCATAAAAATGAAGTCACAATTTACATGCTCTCCCTGGTGGATCTCAACCCTGTGGAAATTCCTCCAGGCTCCGATACAGCGATTGTAATCTCCGTGGGCAAGCTAGGGCCTCTTTTAGAAATAGTTTACCCACACACAGCCACACCCACCATCTACATATTGTCTGTGGCTGCTTTCATTCTGTCATGGCAGAGACCATATGGCCCACAAAGCCTAAAACTCTTACCATCTGGACCTTTCTACACAGATTTGCTTGCCCCGATAATATCTTATTTTCATTGGCGGCACCCTGGCCCCTGGCGTGGATAGACCAGCCTGATGTTGCTATTCCCCAAGGCCTGAACTCCACGGTGGTGCCAGCTGCCTCTCCCCACTCTCAGTTCTTCTGGTCATGGCTGACGTCACCCCTTAAACAATCAAATCACAATGGTCCCCATTTCGTTGAGTGCTTACTGTGTCCTTTACTCTTTATAGCAGCCCAATGGGGTAGGTGCTATGGCTGTCCCGTTTTACCTGAGGCAATGGAGGCTCAGAGGGGTTGAGTAACTTGCCTGGGACACACAGCTGGAAAACAGAGCCAGGCCTAGCACTGCCTCACCCAAAGCACATGTGTTTAATTACTCTTCCTCCTCAGCCTGGACCATGGGCCTCAGAGGATGGAGTGGCTGCTGGCTTTTTTTTTTTTTGGATGGCTTAAGTGCATTTTATTGGTTTTCTGCTGCTGGCTTTTTGTCCTCTGAGCTCAGGCACCCCTGGAATGTAGCCTCGTGGGTCTTGGAGGTGCATCCAGAGCCCTGACAGTCCCTCCCCGCTTTCCTCCCCAACAGGCTTTCTATTATGATCTGGACAAGGTGAGTGAAAATTCCTGTCTGCACGTGGTAAGCGAGGTGGGCTGGGCCGGGCCTGGCTGGGTGAGAAGAACTTCGTCCCCACGCCATCCTCTGGCCATCCTACAGGAGAACCATCTGGGTTCCTCCTCACTTTCCAAATGGGGAAACTGAGGCTCAGCGGTGAGCCTACGTCAAGGATGGTGAGGGGCTGGCCTGGCTTTGAGCCCAGTTCTGTGTTAAGACCTGGCAGAGGTGGGCAGGAGCTGGGAGGCGGCTCGGGCTACTTTTAAAGCATCTTCTCAAAAATAAAAAATAAATAAAAAAATAAAGCATCTTCTCTTTCTCTGGGAGAAGCAAACGCGCTCTGTGGAAAGGCACATCCGGAAGATGGAGTTTCACATCAGCAAGGTCAGCTTGGTTCCTGTGGTGTCGCAGGGTGCGGCTGGGATAGTCTGTCACCTTGCTGGGCCTCCACTGGCTTAATAGGAGTGGGCACGCTCCCTCTGAGCAGCAGGGAGGGTAGTCGGGGTGCTCAGGGGCTGGAGAGAGGCAGGGAGCCACTGCAGGGGTTGGGCCCAGTAAGACATCACGCTCAGTCTCAGGGCGCTGGGAAGGCGGAGACCAGCCACCCAATTGTAGAGACGGAGGAGTAGAGGCCCAGAGAGGGACAAGGATTGGCCCAAGGTCACACAGCAAGTCCCTTAAGCTTTGAAGTCTGCAAACGCTTCCATGATCTCGCTTCACTCTCCTAGCAGCCCAGTGGGAGGGCAGGATATCATAAACCCACCTCCCCGTTTACAGTTGAAAAATCAGGCAGGAAAAGGAGACGTGATGCAGTTAAAGTTTGTGCACTGATTGCGTGCGAGCCACTGCCGGGCGCTGGGCTGAGGGATGAGGCAGACGTGGCTCCTGACCCCCTGGGCTCACATTCCATGGGGGCCGGTGAACCAGTGCAGGGTGTGACCGCTGTCAGGGGCTGGGATGGGGACAGCAGCTCAGGGTGGCCTCTCCCAGAGGGTGAGAATGGCAGGCAGGTCTGGCCCCCACCCCTCGGCGTGAGCAGGACCCACCTTCCTGTGCCCTGGCAGGTGGACGAGCTCTATGAGGGCTACTGCATCCAGTGCCGCCTGCGCGATGGCGCCTCCAACATGCAGCGGGCCTTCTCCAGGTGCCCACCCAGCCGCGCCTCCCGAGAGAGCCTGCAGGAGCTGGGCCGTAGCCTGCAGGAGTGCACCGAGGTGGGCAGCGCGGAGCCAGGCCCGGCTTTGGTGGTGGTGGTGGTGGGGGGTGCCTGGGGGGTCTCTGTGTGTCCCTGTGGCCTAGCCCCAGGGGTGGGTGCTGAGCTGCACTGTGTGGGATTTTGCAGGATATGTGGCTCATTGAGGGGGCCCTGGAGGTCCACCTGGGCGAGTTCCACGTCAGGATGAAAGGTAACAGGGCTGAGAGTGGGTGGGCAGCAGCAGTTTGGGTGGGCTGTTAGGCCTTCTGGGGGGCCCTGGGACTTCCGCTGGGTTGGTGGTGGGGGTCAGAATCCAGGGGTCCAGGCCCGGCTCTGGGTTTGCACTCGTGGGACATGTGACCTCAGGCAAGTCCTGTCTCCTCTCTGAGTTGGATGTGAGGGCCCAGGCCTGCCCACTGTCCATCATGACAGCTTATCTGTCCTGGAAGCCGGTCCCCAGACTAGGACGGGGAGTTCCCCAGTGAGGGCCTGTGACCCGTGGGCAGGGGCAGAGGAGGGCAGACAGAAGACTTGTCCGTCTCTGTGTTCCAGGCTTGGTGGGCTACGCACGCCTCTGTCCCGGAGACCAGTATGAGGTATGGCCCGCCTCCGGTGTCAGTCCTCAGAGCTCCCCGCCATGCCTTTGGGGGTACCCATGGTCCCAGCTGGCAGGGAGGGCCCCCAGGCAGACGGCCGGGGTGGGTGGCGCCCACCTGGGGGGCTGACCCACTCCTCCTCGGGTCTGGCCCACAGGTGCTCATGCGCCTGGGCCGCCAGCGCTGGAAGCTGAGAGGCCGCATCGAGTCTGATGACAGCCAGACCTGGGACGAGGAGGAGAAGGCCTTCATCCCTGCCCTGCACGAGAACTTCGAGATCAAGGTGGGTGGGGCCTAGGGGTGGGGCCAGAACACCCAGGGTCTGGACTAGGAGACCACCCACAGCTCCTCACTGTCCCCAGGTAACAGAGCTGCGGGGCCTGAGCTCGCTGGCGGTGGGCACAGTGACGTGTGACATCACCGACTTCTTCACGACCCGGCCGCAGGTCATCGTGGTAGACATCACAGAGCTGGGCACCATCAAACTGCAGCTGGAGGTGCAGTGGAAGTGAGTGGGGGCCATTCTCCCTCCGGCCCTGCCGCCTCTCCCTAGGCCAGCCCCCAATTCCCACCCAGAGGGAGAGCCAGAGGACCTCGCTGGCACCCCCTGGTGGCCTGACTGTGCCCTAGCATCCACTCGTGGACATGTCTGCTCTCATCTCCCTCCCAGGAGGTGCCCGCAAGTGCTTGTCACAGGCTCTTGTGGTCCAGCTGGGCCCTACACACCTGGAGCCAGGCCTCTGTGCAAATGAGAGCGAGCAGGTTTCTGCGAAGCAGGGAGGGTTTGCTCAGACCTACCTGCTCCAAGGGCAGGGTTGGCGAGGCCTAGGGTCCCCAGCCTTACCTGTGACTGGGACTGACACAGACGTCCTTCTAGAATGGCGCCCTTTACAGATGAGGAATCTGAGAGGGGTGGTGGCGATGTTTACCCAGGAAACGGCACCACTGAGCGTCCACCGCTGGTCTGCTGAGCTTCTCAAAGGGGCCTCTACAGGGGGATGTCATTCACACGTGTGGTGACTAATCGCAGCCCCTTGCTGTCTACGGGTGGTGGGCATTTGAGAGAGGTTTCCAAGGGGGTTGAGAATGTGGACCTAAAGTCCCTGGGCCGGGCCTGTAACCCCGAGCAAGGCCCTGCCCCTCCCTGGGCCTCCATTTCTTCTTCAGTTCCCGGGGTCCTTACTGTGCTCCAATGTCCCCCTGGGCATCGGTGACCCTCAGGCCTTTTGTTCTCTCCTCCAGCCCGTTTGATACTGAGATCTTCCTGGTGTCACCCAGCCCCACAGTCAAGTTCTCTGTAGGCAGCAGGAAGGGCTCCTTGTACAACTGGACACCCCCCAGCACACCCAGCTTCCGGGAGAGGTACTACCTGGTGAGTGAGCCGGGGGCGCTGTGCTTAAGAAAAGTCGTGGGGGTGGGGGTGACTCCCCCAGGGGCCAGCACGCGAGCCTGGGCTGAGCAGCCTGGCACCTCTGCACGTAGCAAGCGGTGGGTGCAGCCTCCCTTGTTTTGGGTTATCCTGGGTATTTTCTGTACTTTTCTTCCTCGATGCTGGCCTCTCCATTCTGGGGGCTTCTAGGCTTGGTGCTCCTGGGTGCCTGGAATGGGGTTCTCTGGATGGTTCTACCACCCCAGCCATGGCCTTGGCCTCCAATTTAGTTGTTTTAAGCTTAAATTCAGTATACTCATATATGTTTCCAACAGGTAATACCTTGACATAGCATACAGTAACACATCTCTTTCCTGGGAGCCGGGTCACCTCCTTAGGCTGTTGTCAACTTCTTCCATATTCTTCCAGAGATGCTGTATGGCATCTGCGGCAAATGCATCCTCTCCTCCACCTTTTCCTCCACAGCAGCCTTTTTAACCTAGTGATGGATTTGGAGACTAGAGGTGTGAGGGATAAATGAGGTGGGACTTGATGGCCTTTAGATCAGGGCATGTAAATGCCAAACACTTAATTTAGTGACGAGCTGCTCTTGTAATGAGCACTGGTTGTGTATCGTATGTCAGGTCCTTCACTCATTCATTCACTTCACTCATTCAAAACAATGTGGCAGGCTCTTCTCTAGGCCAGGAAAAGACTGTTCCCTCTGGGAGCACTGCCTGCCCAAGGGGCGGAAGGACCATGGGAAAACAAAGTAGAACATTCTTAGGCGGAGCACACAGTCAGTGCAAAGGCCCTGAGGTGGGAATGTGGGAATGAGCCTGGAGGATGTGAGAAGCAGCAAGGAGACCTGCTGGGGCTTGAAAGGAGTGAGTTAGAGATGTGATGGGGATAAGGGCAGAGAGGGGACAGGGTCCTACCAGCACCTCTGGGTCACCTTGGTGAACAGACCTCAGTCATCCCAAGAATGTGGGTACGCAGAGCAAGTGTCTGTGGGGGAAAGCCCCTTTGGGGCCTCGCTGGGATCCCTGGGGTGGCCAGTGAGGCCGGTCCTGTGTCCCCTCTCCAGTCTGTCCTGCAGCAGCCAGTGCAGCAGGCCTTGCTGCTGGGCGGGCCGAGGGCCACCTCCATCCTCAGCTACCTGTCTGACAATGACCTTCGGGGCCCTGTCCTGTGGAGCCAGAGTCAGGAGCTGCCTGAGATGGACTCCTTCAGCTCTGAGGACCCCCGAGACACCGAGACCAGCACCTCAGCGTCCACCTCGGACGCGGGGTTCCTGCCCTTGGCCATTGGCCCCAATGCCTCCATTGAAGAGGAGGCCCAGGAGGAGCTCCCGTCCCCAGGCCTCCTGCCGGAGATGGCCCGCCTGGCAGGAGGTTCGTTCGTGGAGCAGCCGGGCTGGAGGGACTTGGGAATAGAGAGCCCCAGCCTGCCACGGGGCTCCACATTCCACAATCATACGATGCCGGGTAGCAAGAGAGGCCATGATGAAGAAGAAACCAGGGATGGAGTGCGTGAATCTGAGGTGACCCTCGAGAGGCCCCTGCAGGAGGTCCTGGATTTACTGAGGTGCACAGACTCTTCCCAGCCTCGGCTCCGGGAGCTAGAATACCAGGTCCTCAGCTTCCGGGACCGGCTGAAGGTATGTTCACTCTGCTGGGCGGCAGCCCTGCTCTGCCGATGGTACAACAACTGGGAGTGGGCTCTGGGGACAGCCAGCCTGGGCCGGCATCCTGGCCTCACCCCTGCAATCACCCAGGTCGGCAGCGTCTCCTCCCTGGCCTCAGTTTGCTCATCTGTCAAGTGGGGATAACAACAGCCCTCATCGGGCTGGGAGGAGGATTGTGAGAGGAAGTCGGGGATCAGAGTGGATAACTTGCACCATGTCCGGTCAGAACCAGGCCCCATCTCGCAGCTTCTGACCCAAGCAGGTCAGGCTGTGGTTCAGCATTAAAATCTCAAACTAGGGGTATTCTCAGGGTCAGAGCTGGTGCTATGGAAGACCCCATGTGGCCCCACACACCACACTGAAACTCGACAGGACCCACACCGTGGGCAGTTCTCAGGTGGCTCTCAGAGGTGCTGGCTGGCATGGGTGGATTATCCTATTTTTTTGGTTTGCATACATCGATTTAAATGTATGCAAAACAAAATGTAGAACACCAGCACCTACTTACAAATCAATTAATTCATGAAACCACTGTCTTTTGTGTAGGGCACTTAGCACTGAAATAGCCTAACAGCTCCCTTCAAAAATTCATTTTGGTGGTTTTATTCCTACTCTCCCCCTGACATTACAGGTCAACACAGGACAAAGAAAGTTGAATTTTCATTTTATACCTAGTAACTTAAAAATGTTCACTATTTAAATACCACTGCCACAGTCTTTAAAAAGACCTACCTGAAAATTTCCAAAAAAAAATTTAAGAAATAGTCACCTTTTTTGTATTTCTTAATAGCGTTTTCATGTAGAACAGTGTGAGTCAGCATGCACGCTGCTTCTCTCACATACCTGTAATTTGAAAAATTATACCCACTTTACACAAAAATCTTGAAATAATACTGCCATAAGGCAATAATTTTAAACATCTTAGAGGAACTCATTTTTTTTTTTTTTGCAAACCAAGTTAAAAGAATAAAAATGATGACAGGCTATGGTTTTTAGTTGACTTTCTAAGAGAAATTACACACACACACACATATATATGTATGAATGTGCACTTATGTATGTATAGTCGATTCCCATTTTTCATTGATTCTGGTTTTGCAAATTCACCTACTTGCTAAAGTTTATTTGTAACCCTCAAATCAATACTCAGGATGCTTTCACCGCCATTTGTGGGCAGGTGGAGAGTGACAAAAAATGAGTCTCGTGTGCACGTTCCCAGCTGAGGCTGAACAAGGTGAGGAAGCTCTGACTTGTTTCAGTTATGCTGTACTCAGGTGTCCTTTTCACTGTCTATTTAGCGCGACGTTATTCACATGTTCATGCTTAATTTTGGCGATTCTGCTGTTTAAATGGCCCCCGAGTGCAGGGCTGAAGTGCTGGCCAGTGTTCCTGAGAGCAGGAAGGCAATGGGTAGTGCCTCACAAAGAAAACGGGTGTTGGATAAGCTCTGTTCAGGCGTGAGTTAACTGCTCTTGGCCTTGAGGTCACTGTGAAGGAATCGACAATATGTGTGAAATAAGGTCTTTAAACAGAAACACACACACAACAAGGTTACATACTGACTGGTGGATGAAAAGGTTATGACCAGAGGCTCGTAGCATTTCCCAGAGGAGCGATGGCTCCGTATTCACAAATTCAGTGGAAACGGTGACTTTATATATGACGGCGAATAAGGAGACTGACTGTGTGTGTGTGTGTGCATGCATGTGTGTATGCACATATATACACACACAATTTTTTTTTTCTATCAGGAAAGGAACTCTCTGCAGCTTGCCTTATTATTCTCTTCCTGCTCAAGGTTTTCTCTTTGGGCTCAACATTTCAGAGCCTGGTTCTGGTGTCTTGTGTGGGACGAGGCCCAGGCTAGCTGGGCCTAGGGACCACATATGGAGACAAGACCAAAATCCCCAGTAGTGGATTTCTAGATGCCAAGGAAGGGACCTGCCATTGGGAGGTTCTGACAACTTCAGCAGTGGCTCCGAGGCCGCCCCCCACCTCCTCCCAGTCGGGGGCTGCCTCCAATCGCTTGTCCTTCCACCTTTCCCTGGGAGAAGACACACCTGGAATCCAGAGGCTCACCTGGCAGCTTTGAGCCACCTGAAGAGGTGTTTGGCCTGACTCACATCATACTTTAAAAATAATTTGGAATTGTCAATATTTAAAAACTGGGCATCTTCCCACAAAAACCTAAGCTCCCAGCTTTTCTTAGAAAGTTGAACAATCTGGCAACACTGGCCCCACGTACCCAAATGGCAGGTGTCAGCTAGAGCAGCAGCCTGTCCTCTTGGGGGAGGGCGCCTACTCTCCTGCTTTCCGTGGGACCCCACCCTCGGACCCCCGCCCCACCGCTCCTCACTCCTGTCACTTGCCCTGTCCTTGTGGTTATCTGTGACCAGGTGAGGCTTTTCAGATCTGTCTCCCTTGAGCTTTTGCAGCATACCTTGTCACAGGCCATTCAGGAGGGACCTCGGGGAGTGCTGTGCCCCTGGGTCTGTCCTGACTTGGGGCATTGCAACCCCACTGAGGGATGCTGTGAAGGTGGGTGTGTTGGGCGGGGTGAGTGGCGCCGGCTGCCCTGAGGTCTTGCTTGGTCCACAGCCCCGCGGAGGCCGCCAGGAGCACAGCTCAGCCGAGAGCCTGATGAACTGCATCCTAGAGAGTTTCACCTTCCTCAATGCCGACCTCGCCCCCCACGAGCTGTCCCTCTTTGGAGGTCCCCAGGGTCCCCGGTGAGTGCACCCCCTCCCAGTGCCTCTTGTACCCATATGCCCACTGCCTGGCACAGGGCAGACCCTCAGGGACCACTGAGTGAGTGAGAATAGGTCCGCCTGGCCCTCAGCTTTCCGCTCCGAACAATGAATGGGCTTCTTTTTGAATCTTAAAAATAATGATGGAAGATGCAGCAGAGCCTCCGACCTTGACCTAACCAACCAGCAGCACTATGTTCCCCGTCCCCTCTGCACAGCCATCTGCCCTCACCTACGACACCACTTTCCTTCTCCGTTAGGCAGCCCCCACCTGCCCTACACACGATCCATCGTGAGTTTGCTTCTCCTGTACCCAAAGCTCCACAGCACAGAAACGTATCACAGTCCCGATTTCTCCTCCGCCTTTTCTCTCAGTCCCAGGGGAGGGCGTGGTACTTCCACCCAACGTGATGGTGTCACTTTGCCCTTGCCCAGGCCTCAGGCTCACCCTCTACCATGGAGAGGATACGGTACTAGGCACGCTGGCTAGGCACTTGCCCCTCACCGCCCTGAGCTGGGCGAGCCTGTCCCCACTTCACGGATGAGTAAACTGAGGCTAGGGGAGGCAGACTTGGCCAGAGTCCCAGAGCTAGGGGTTAGTGTGAACTGCAGCTGCTTACTCCCCAGGCCCACGCCACCTCACACCTGTTTTGAGTTGTTGCTGCCTTTTGCTGCTTTTCCTTTTGTCTTAGATTTCCCCTCGGTTTAACTCCATCTCCCTGGGACCTGGAGTGGGCTCCCTGGTCAGAGCTCTCCAGGGAGGGAGGGATTTCTCTTATCTAACCAGAACGGTCACCCAGTTCTTCCCCATCCAACTCAGAAAGGACAGCACCCTGTCGCCGCTGCCCTCGCTGGAAGAGTCGTCCCGGGAGCTCACAGCTGGCGCCCCTGAGCTGGACGTGCTGCTCAAGGTCCATCTCCAAGTCTGCAAAGCTCTGCTGCAGGTGGATGAGGGACTGGGGTGAAGCGGGAGAGGCTCGTGGGGGGCCAGGAGGGGGGGAAGTTCTCTCTGCAAAGGGCTGGTCTTGAAGGTGGCGGTGAGCATGGCGCAGGGGCGGGAGGCCGTACCTTGGAGCCAATGAGACTGAGGACGTTCCTCCGTGGAAGGTGCAGCCCAAGCCCTGAATCAAAGGCAATAGCTGCGACTCTTTCAGTTGCAGACGCCAGAGCTCCAATCCAAACTGGCTCAGCCGAAAGGAAAACTTATTGGCTCATAGAGTTGACAGGTCCCGAGGTGGGCTTCAGGCCCAGCTGGATCAGGGTCTCGAAGGTCATCATGACGGGGCCTCTCGCTCTCTTAAGCTCTGCTTTCCTGTGTGGGTTGGCTGCACTTTCAGGCAGGCAGAGGCAGAGGCCCCCGGCAGCTCCATCGTCTCAACCACCTTGGTGAAGGGGGAGTCCCCAGGGGACAGCCAGGGAGCTGCTACTGGGATGGGAAGGGTGGGCACAGGGCAGGTGGGGGCACCGTCATGACGGCTGGCGGAGGGCGTGTCCGCTAACCCGGAGCACCGTGGCTGCTTCCAGAAACTGGCCTCTCCTAACTTGTCGAGGGTGGTCCAGGAAAGCCTTCTGGAAGAAGTCGCGCAGCAAAAGCAGATCCTGGAGACTCTTTCTACGCTTGATTTTGAGAAGGTTGGCAAGGCGACGTCCATTGAAGAGAGTAAGTAACTACCCACCACCACGGGCTGCCTGTGTGAATGGCATGAAGTGATGGGCTTTGAAGTGCAGTGGGGACCTCGTCTTCCTTCCTGATGTCCGAAGTTAACTGGAGCCCAGGGGTGCGATTGGGGGTGGTGGCTGGGCTGGGCTCAGAGACGCACTGTGGGGGCGGGAAGGGGGGTCACACAGCCTTGGAGTGAGCAGCACGTGCTTGGTATGCTGTGTGACTCTGGGCAAATGATTTACCTCTCTGAGCCTCGGCTTCTCCATCTGTATAATGGGAAGGCCACTGGGTAGGGCTCAATGAAAGAGTCCCCAGGACACACTCCAGGCACACAGCATGCACTCAGATAAACAGGAGCTGTGACCCCAACTCTGCCTGTGACCCCCCCACCGTGGGACCCCCCTTGTCCATAGCTGCCCTAGGTTGTGGTGAAGGCTGTGGGTGGTCCCCTGCATAGGGTGTTTAGAGGTAAAGCTGCTTGTCACGTACGTGTCACACTGGAGTGTGGAGAAAGGACACCGTGTGTCACCCCTCAGCTCCCCAACTTCAGGCCCCCAGTCTTCCTCTTCCTCACGCGCAGTCAGCTTTCTGAGCCTGGGCTTTCAGTCATTCCGCAGGCCGCGCGGAGGAAGGTCTGCCTGAAGCTGTGGAGGGCGTGCGTGGAGCCCGGCGGGGTCCTGGCCTGCCCCGCTGCGACACTCCTGAGCCAGCTCAAGAAGACGTTCCTGCACAGAGTCAGGGGCAAGTACCCTGGACAACTGGAGATAGGTAACGGCCCTCGCTGCCCCACAGAGACGCTGTGCTGACTCCATCATTGTCACAGTGGCCCGAGCCCCGCCTCCGCAAGTGCCTTCATGGCATCAAATGGACGCCATTTCTTAGCATGACTACAAGTCCCCTCCTGTTACTGGGGAGACGAAGGAGTAGTCTGTGAACCCCTAAAACTGCAAACATTAGTGGGTTGGTGCATTTTTCTGGGGACAGATTCCATAGCTTTTACCAGAACCTTAAAAGTGTTAAGAAAGAACCTTTATAGGAAGATAGGCAGGACTTTATCTACCCAAAAAAGGTGTCTTGACACTTCCTCGGAAGGCAGAGCATTTCTCTGGTGACAACTGAAGGGTGACAGTCACACTCCAGGCAGTGGCTCTGTAACCTGCATACCCCCAGGCGGCCCCAGCTCCCACCACGTGCCCTTAGAAGGCCATTAGGCTGACCTGGCCACACTACAGAAGCTCCCAGGGGCAGGGTCTCAGTTGCTCCTCACGGCTTCTCCTGTGTCCTGCCAGCGTGCCGCAGGCTCCTGGAGCAGGTGGTCAGCTGCGGCGGGCTGCTCCCCTGTGCCGGGCTCCCTGAAGAACAGACTGTCACCTGGTTCCAGTTCCACAGCTACCTGCAGAGGCACAGCGTCTCAGACCTGGAGAAGCACTTCGCCCAGCTCACCAAGGAAGGTAGGGGCTGAGGGCGGTGGCAGGTGGCCTCAAAGCCACACAGTGACGACAAGGTGACTTCCATCCGTTGAGCCTTGTTTGGAGCCAGTTTCTCAGAACCACTGAGTCTTTCCCCTCCAGCTATCTGTTAGAACCCTGATTTAATTCGACTCCTCCACAGAGGGAGATTAGGTCCAGGGGAAGGAGGTTTTACTGAGTACAGAACAGAGGTCAGGACTGGAGACGACAGTGATTCTCAGCTGGGCAGAGTCCCTGGATGGGCTGGGGTTTAACTTTCAGGGTGTCTGCGATCCCTTGCTAGAAAGCCTTCCTGGAGATTCGGGGGGGGGGGTGCTCCTCTGACACCAATCCAGACTTGGCCTTGGTAATCACGTACACTTGCTCCGGGATTCACTTCTTCAAGGCTAATGGCAGTGGACAAACACACCGGCAGCCGACTCTGACCACAGCCAGAGTGCGGACCCTGGGCCCACTTCTTCCGTCTCTTCCAGTAACACTCGTTGAGGAGCTGCAATGCACAGGGCAGGCCAAGACGGTCAGAAAGCTGCAGGGCAAGCGGCTGGGCCAGCTCCAGCCCCTGCCCCAGACGTTACGGGCCTGGGCGCTGCTCCAGCTGGACGGCCCCCCGAGGGTGTGCAGGGCTGCCAGCGCTAGCCTGGCCAGCGCAGCCAAGAACAAGAGCTTTCGGGAAAAGGTACGGATTGCGGACCTGGTGGGGGTGGGGCAGTCCCCCCGGCTGCAGGTGGGCGAGTTGCGGGGAGGTGGAGGGAAGGAGGGAGGCTTTCTTGAAAAAATACAAAGGCTCATGAGCTACTGGGGGCTGCTTTCACGGCAAGATATTTGGATGTAGAGGAGATCCAAACATGAACACAGCTCTCCTCATGCTATTGCCACCACCAGCCCTGGGGAGGGAGCTGGGCTGGGCTGCGGTGGCCAGACCATCCACCTGAGGAGCCCACAGAACTGCACGCCACAAACTTACATTACTCATCTCAGCGTTTCTAAAGCAAAGTATCTATTTGGTCCCTGAGATGTCACTTGCACGCAGAATGCTTCGTAGAATTCCAATGGTCATCCTCATTGACTTGCAATTGACGTGGGGCTGGTTGGTTGGTTCACGGTTTGGTTCATTTGAAACCCAAGAAATTGGACCCCTCTGCCTTTTAGGTTCCTGGACCTGTGACTATTCTAGATTTAGGGTACCAGCTCCTGAGGGGGGAGAAGGGCCATGCTGGCGGCTCACTATAGTCTCCTGGGCTCACCCAGGGCCAGGCAGACCACCATTGCTTACAGCCATTTTGTGAAGTGCCAGCTTTATCCTCCATCTGAAGTGACCTGGCTATGGTCCTGTGACTGATGGGGCGGGCTTAGAGCTGTGACCGGAAGAGGGTGATGGAGGAAGAGATGCTTTTCCTTCTGGCCCAAGGCAGCGGCCATGCCGCTTGCAGCCTCTGGGGACAGTTTCCTGTGTGTGTTCAATTCTTGTTGGACATCTCATTTCTCTGATTTAGCCTTTTCACTAGATAGCAGTTTCAGGATGCATTTCATACACATTAAAATTTAGACAAAAAGAGCTTTCTGGTTACACCAGCCCAGACACCAGTGTTTTTAGAGATAAACAATGCTGTAGTCTACATCTCTGGACTGTGCACCGGGCCCAACGATGAATGGATCACGGCCTGATTTGTGTTTAGAGAAAGGTAAGAAGGGCCTGACTGATGGTCAGCAGTCGGAGGACCAGCGTGGGCACCGTGGACTTTGCTCTCGGCACCCTCGCCTTCACTCACCGCGGCCCTCTTTCCCAGGCTTTGCTCTTCTACACCAACGCCCTGACCGAGAATGATGCAAAGCTCCAGCAAGCTGCGTGCATGGCACTAAGGCATCTCAGGGTGAGTTCAGCCTGTCCTTGCTGGTGATAGAGACAGGCCTGCTTGTGGTTCACGTGAGTTAGTTCATTTCAAAATGATTCCACTGGGACCAAGAAAAGGAAATCACCGCCGGCCAAGAAGCAGCTGAAGCGCTGGTGTTAGACGAGGGGGCGTCAGCTCCACCAGCAGGGACCCGCCCACAGTGAGCAGCTGGCCTCAGGGACTTACTTCTGAGCTCCTGGATTATACGCTTTAATATCAATTTAAAAGCTTGTAACAGCACAAGCAGCTCATTGTAGAAAAAGAGAGTAAAACACACACAAAAAATGTAAAAGTTACCCATCATCCTGACACTTAGAAGCTACTGACATTTTTATGTATTTCTTTTTTTTGTTGGTGGGTGTGTGTGAGCATTTAAAATTGTTGATAATATTAAATATAGTTTAAAAACAGTGAACAAAATAAGAACTTTTTGTGTTAGACTGGTGGTGCTTTGGAATTCCTTAGGAAGAGTCTATCAAATGTATACCTTAATTTAACCTACCCTCCCCCCCACTCTCATACTGTAGGAAATTTAGGTTCATCATCCATTTATTATGTCATTATGAGCATCTTTGTGCATAAAGCTTCAACCCCACTTGCGTTTAGAATTCTCATTTAAAACAATAATTGCCAATTTACGAGATGAGACATCGTCCAATACAGATTAAACTCACCCCATTCATTCTGGAATGAACTGACAGGAAATTTTAGGTCCATCTGGTTATAATCAAATAACCAGTAAGAGAGAAGGGCGCCCAGTGGAAGGAACTGAAGTGCACTCTGGTCCTTGGCCCTGGAGGAGAGCAGCCTCAGGGGTCAGGGGTGCCTAAGCTGGGGCCCTGACTGCTCCCCTCCTGGTCTGACCTGGAGGGGAGGGCTGGGAGAGCAGGGAGGCTGTAGGGAGATCCACAGGGAAACAGGTCGAGGTGGGCCTTTCAGAAGTTGTGCCCATATCACTGCTACTGGCCTGGTTTGCTGGCAGGAGTCAGGACTGAAACGGTGAGATGCTTCCAATGGTGGTTTCGATGAACCCGAGGCCACAGAAGAAACCTGGTAGCTTTCAGAAGAGAGAGGGGCTCAGGCCCCACAGACTACGCTAGGGCTGGTCCCGCAGAGCTTGTAAAAATGGATTCCACCTACTACTTAAAATGTCCCCTAATGGACCTTCTCTCCCTGCACCTCCAATAGGGCATTGAAAGCATCGATCAGATCGCCAGCCTGTGCCAATCTGACCTGGAAACCGTGCGAGCGGCAGCCCGGGAAGCCACGCTGTCATTTGGTAAAGAACAGCGTCAAATGTCATGTGCTGTGCAGTAGGGATCCTGGGTCCTTAGAAGGGTTGTGATCGAGCGGCCACTGCCAGCTCTCGAAAGATGCAAAATAGCACACAGATGGGCACTGCTACCAACCCGTTTAACTGTATTTGGCCGAAGCAGGTTTCCTCCATGGTGATGTGGCAAAAAAATTGCTTTGTTTCCTTCTTAAACTTCAGTTTGTTCCCCGGGAATGAAAGCAGATGCAAGGCACACGATTCAGGTTCAGTCGACTCCATTTTGGACGGAGGGGCAAGCGGGGTAGTTAGGGCCTCCAAATGCTCCCCGCCCCTGCCCTTTACAGGGACGCCTGAGACCCAGGCATCAGTAAGCCCTAAGGCCACCTTAGCCTGCCAGAGCAGGCGTCGAGGCAGGGTCCAATCCAGTGACAGATCGCCTTAACATTTCAGGTGAAAAAGGAAGGTTCGCTTTTGAGAAGATGAACCAACTTTGCTCAGAACAAAGAGAAGATGCTTTTTGCCAGGAGGCAGACGTTGAAATCACGATATTTTAAAAAGCCTCGGCCGATGAGCACCGATCTGGCATCCTTGTTTTTGCTGCTGCCGTCTCAACACAGGGGCAGAGCTGTGGGTGAGGGCGTGCTGTGTGCTCCCCCCGCCCCCAGAAGTGTGAGCCGACCAGAGCTGCTCCCTGAGTCTCTGGACCAATTACAAAGCCCCAGGACACAAGTGGGACTTTTGAATAGGAGCAGAACGAGGCTGCACTTCAAACCATCAGCCTCTGGTTTTGAGAATCTGTCTAACCTCCTGGATGTAGTGCTGGGTCAGCCCCAGCCGGCCATGCTACGAAGTCAAGGCCAAACAGGACCAGGCTTGGAGGCCAGTGGGCAGACGACCTTGGTAAGGAGAATGTGGTAGGCCTGGACATTTCAACTGCAGCGAGCTGTCACCTGGGAGGGCTGGGGAAGGTGGGAGGGCACAGAGCCAGGGTTTCTACCATTCACTCTTAACCTGAGCTGTGGCCCAAATGCCTGCTGGTGGCCTGCTGCCCGTGGCCCTTATTTTCATTGTGTTCAACAGAGAAAAGGAAAGAAGACTTGAGTGTCATATCAGTAAAAGCATTCACTTGGACCTCCCTAAACAAAACAGAATCCAACTTTTGAAGCAAGTCAACTTAGGGCCCATTAAATTAATTGCCTCGGAAGCCATAAACTGGTGTGAAGGATTTCACTGAAGAGCATGTTGCCTTAAAGAAAATTTAAAGTTTCCTATTTAAGTCTATTAAAAAAACTCAAATGTGTCCCGAGTTGTTTGTGTTAATAATGTCGAGATAACCTGGGGCTTGAATGTGGCTATCAACAATGGGATTGGAGAACTTTGTAACTTAAACATTCTCATTTAAACTTCCTGTATATATTTTGTGGTTTTCAGTTTAACTGAGTATTTATTTGCTTTGTTTATATGTTCAATTTTCTGAAATTTCAATTAAAAAAAAAAAAGGTTTTTATTGGTGTTTCACTTTACCTGAAAAAAAAGTAGTGGTTGCTTTCCCAAACACCCCACTGGGGGAAAAAGTCACCCCTCCTGTTCCTCAGCACCGTCTCACCAGGGATGCCGTGAGGCAGGTTCTCCGACAGATGGGGACGTAGAGTATTCATGCATGAGCTCTCTGAAGGCTCCCCAGGTGCCCTCTCCTATCCAGGCACCATGCAAAGTGGCCCACGTCTGACCTTTGGCCTCATTGGATTTCCACTCCAACGTTACAAACTCAGTTACTTTTTTCCTCACACTGGTATTCCAACTCTTCATGAAAGCTCAGATGCCAATTTTTGTTTGTGAAAACAGGCTGAGGTGACAGTGGGCATGACAACACCATGCTGGTCCCCGCCGTCCTCTACGGGGCGTTGCACGCCTGTGTTTGTTTCCTAGTTCCATGGATCCTACCAGGAGGCCAAAGCATAAACAGTTTCCTCAGCAGCCAGCTTTGTAATGTTACAAAACCTTGAAGGACATAAGGAAATTCTTTGTACGCCTTTTGCAATATTTTGCAAGTCTGCAATTATTTCAAAACAAAACGTAAAAAAAAATCCACATTAGGGGAGATTTACATTTAATTTTGTACATTTCTTGTACAAGAAGGAAGACAACAGGAAGACTACACGAATTTTGCATATCTCATTATTTCCACGTCAATTCTACAAATGTGACTACACGGAGATGCTGTGATGTGGTAACCATTGTGTCTTACGGGTAGTTGGCGAAGGGACATGTTCTAGGGGTCTAAACAGTTCTTCAAACGACTTGTGTAGGTTTGTTAAGTTATCCAAGGGTCCTATACGTTCCAAAAGTGGGTTTTGTTGTTCTTGAAGGAGATGGGCTGAGGCCTGGTGTTAAACACACTCCCCAGTAAGGAAAATGCCCCGGCCCAGAGGCGCTCACGACTTTAGGAGGCCCTCAGATCCTTAGATATGGGAAACATAACCCTGCTTGATGGACAACATGTGCTTCACATCAGCAGGGATGGAAAGAAACAGTTGTCCATCCTGGTTTAGGCCCATTAAGCAAACAAATGGGAAGCACCCCAAATCCATATTTTTTAGAAAAAAAATTTTTTATTGTTGCAACTAAAAGGCAAACCCATCATTTATATGGCAAGTTGGAAAACTGTACAGTTTGACAGTTCTGTGAGGTCACAGAAGACCCTGAGACGCGCCCCCCACCCGACCCCGTCATGCACCCACGTATACACACATCTGAAAAGGTATTATACCAAAACACCTCATTTTTTTGTTTGTTTTTATTTTTGTACAAATGGTTTATTCCACGGCCATTGTAAAAAAGAATGACCTGCTGAGTAAATATTGGCTTAAGGCATATAGTAGAGCAGCTCGCTACTTCTCTAACATATGTAACCAGATGGGGAGCCATCTGTTTTCCAAGGATACAAGGTTAGACCAGTATATCCATTTTTGAAATGCTACTATATATACACACCCAAACTACTACATACATATACAGGACTTTGAAAACAAACAAACAAGCCAACTCAAAAATGCTTCCAGCCTGGCACTTCAGCCTTACCCACACCTCACCAAAGCTCTGCGGGGCGATGCTCTATAATGTGCCCACCACAGAATTTCTCGGCACCGGCTTCTAACACGAGAAAGGCAAAATGTGAAAATGCTGGCAAAAGAGCAGCTCGTGAGCTACAGCTGCCTTTTTTTTTTTTTCTTGTTAAAAAAGCCACTTAATGTGGAGGTCTTAAGTTCCCCTCGCAGGAAGAGTAGTGAGCACCATCAGTCCCCAGGGTTCAAGGGCGGGGCAGACATGCCTCTCTCAGCAGGGCCCTCCCGAGTGAGACAGCAGCAGGCTGATTCTACGGGACCATCGCCATCCGAGTTGCTTCAAGTGTGGTTTTCAACAGTTGCCTTGGTTCCGAATCACGGTCTGCTCAAGAAGAGTATGGACTTGGGATAGTGGAGGCTGATCCCAAAGGTGTGTGTGTGGGGGACCCTGCTTGCCTAAATGTCCAGAGCGTGAGGTGTGACTACGGCTTCCCATCCCTTGGAATGTCTGAGTTATGGTGGGACCCGGCTGGACCAGGGCAGGCCGGGCCTCACCAGGAAGTCACCAGAGTGTCATGCCAGGAATCAGGCAAGTATCTGTTGCTGTAAAGCATCCCTCCATTGCTGAAAGACGATCAGATCCGCAACAGACTTAGGAGCCACAGCCACGTAATGATCTGATCATGCAAAGGCAGACTGAACTTGCACACGGGGGCGCTTCAGGGAGCAGAGAGCTAAGTATTTCAAGCACGTGGTATTTGATCGGGACACAAGAAGACGGGGCATGCATTCTAATACACACAGGGAAAGCGGTGACTGAGGACAAGGCTCTAGCAGATAACCGGGGAGGGGACTAACTGGGACAAAGTATCTCTCGTCATGTATCTTAAATATCCAAGTGTTCATTATATATTATCCCACTGTTCTATAAACATATGTCAAACCTCTTCTCACATTATCCACAGTGTCAGGCAATAACCACCGCTTATAACCGTCCTTTCTAGTACTGGTCTGACGCAGCAGGCTCACGGCCAAGGCTTCACGCTCCCAGCACGACCTGAGGCTTTATTATTGTACTTTTTGAGAAAGCCTTGGATGCAAGGCTGACATCAAAAGTTTTAATACATTATTGGTTTAAGAAAATGCTAGTGCACTACGGACACCTTTCGGGAAAAAATAAAAACATACATATGGAGTGGAGAGGCTCACAACGCGCAGTCTCCATCGAGGATGTTGTGTGTCGCCTGCCTGCGACGTGCCAGGACGTGCCGCGACACACCGAGGGGGCACTGGGCCAGGCCGGCCTCTCGACGTGCGCCGGCCACCTTTCCTCTGTCTCACCAGCACGGCAGCACGGTACTCTCCTTTGTTCTCAAAAAAATGGGTTGTGGATTTGGTACTTGAAGGAAGTGGAGGGGGGAAATAGAAAAAGGTTAACGGGTAAGACCAACAGCCCAGGAGGGTGGCTTAGTGCCGAGCAAACGTCCGTCTGGGTCACAGCCGGCTACGCTGTGTGGGGCCCTTACCCACCAAGGCACCCCGGCTAGTGGGGTGCGGGCTCTACGAGCAGAGGCGGGTAGTGGGGTGGAGGTGAGTCAGATGATGTGCTGCTGTTGAATAGGAACTGGAATGAAACCAAACATTTTCAGATGGGCCCAGACCCACCGTGCGGAGCTGCAGTCTCACGCACGACCTTGGCCACCCCCAACCCCACCCCCAACTCACCCACTCCTGGGAAAGGGGTTTTGATTTTTTGTTTTGTTTTTGTTTACAATAGACCCCTTCCCAAAAATCACCCCTAAGGAAAAAAAACTGTTTACATGTTGCTAAACCATCTGATGAACTCAAGGACAGTCGCCTGGAAAGAGGTAAACTATTTAAAATGATAAGAAAGTCTCGTGAGGTCGGCTCCGTGACCAGAGTCTGGAAGCTAATCCTTACTTTACTTTAACAGCAACATGGTTCTCATGGGTGGATTTCTGCTGAAATGGCCTTTATATTCCAAATCAAGTGGAAACTGCTCCTTCTGGATCTCAGTGGTAGGGTGAAAAGCCGGTGGCCACCCTGTGGTGACCTCTGACCCTGAGGCAGGGGCATCGAGGAAGCCCGTTTTGGGGGGTGGGGCGAAGAGGGCAGGCCAGGGGTGAGATGGCTGTGACAAGACAGGATGGGTGGAGAAATGAACCATGGGAAACCAGTGGGGCACCCTGAACGAAAGCACAAGCCGCGTTTTGTTGTCTAGAGATGGCCTTTTGTTATTTCTCTTCTTCAAATGGAAAAGCTGGCGGGCGCTGCGCAAGCTCAGTGTGCACCCAGCAGAGGAAGTGACTGAACGAGACAGCATCCTACACCCTTAAGCCCTCTTCTCCAGAGGAATTTACATTCCTGCAACTGTGGAAGTCTTTCCCTGGGAAACCAAATAGAAATTGGGCTCAGGTCACACCACCTAAGGGTAACAAGACAGTTTCTTAAGTGCCTGGTCTTTTTCCCCCCCCCAGAAATAACAAAAAGCTGCTTTTTATAAAGATTAAAAACAACAATGTGTTGTAATTCTATTTTTTTTTCCCAAAAACAAATGAACACAAAAAAAAAAGAAAGAAAGAAAAAAAAAGGAAAAGAGAGAGAGAGAGAGATGTATTTGGCATTTTCTCTACTTACTCCTGAATAGGTTAAGGCCCTGAGATTAGACTCTTGTATTCTTGGGACCACAGGGCTGCTTAAAACCCCAGTGCATCAATCCTCAATTCTCTCGCTAGCCCTTCACAGTTCCAGACTTTAAAGACTTTTGATCTGTTTCTTCTGAGACTGGCTCAGATCCTTCCACAGCACTGGATGCTGCCGCCAGGCTCGGCCAGTGCTTTCTGTACATGTGGTCTTGCTGGCACGTCGGTCAGTGGAAACATACCCTGTAGCAGAGGTACGCGCCGGCCGTGAGGACCGTGGCCATGCACATGTTGACCAGCAAAGGCTTCCAGTGAGTCAGCGCTTGGTCCTGCTCCTCCTCGGGTGGCGACGGCTCCCCCTGGGCAGGACTTGCCCCCACAACCCGCCTTCTGACTTCAGTGTCTTGACTTGTGCTGAGGAACGAGAGGAGCAGAGATGGGTCACCCACTATGGGGAAAACAACGGCCAGGAAGTTACTATTCCAGGAAAAAAGGAGCCACGTGTAAACAGCTTGGGAATGCTGACACCGGCCTGAGGCCCACTTGCCCACCGCTCGCACCCCCAAGGACCCTGGTGGCCCTCACAGCCAGGGTGCGCTTCTGGAAACCTGTGGACTCCTTAGTGACGGAGATTGGGTAAGGGTCTGAGGAGAAACACAGCCACCGGTGCAGACATGTGCTAACTGCCCTGGGGCCTGCCTGTACAATGTTCCCTTCAATCAGGGATTGAAGGTATGGTGTGGCAATGATGTGGCACCCAGGCACCCCAGGCACCCAGACGGATGCTGATACACAGGGGGCCTTTGTCACTGCTGGTAGAAGACACCACACGTTCCCACTGCCCCTGTGCCCACTCCACCCGTCCCAAGCCCGAGCCCCAGCACCAATGCAATCCTCCAGGGAGGACCCTCGCCCAGGTCCTGTGTGCAGTGACATTCATGGTGGAGAGCCAGAGACCCAGTGGGGACAATGTGCAGTGTGCTTGCTCCAGGGCTGTCTCAGGAGAGGCCAGCAGAGGCCCGTGGGGCCAGGAGGAGCCAGGCCCTTCTCCGCTCCTGTCCTAACCCAGGCCTTCCCCTTTCCACCCTTGCCTCCATCAAGGAGGTCCTGGCCACAAGAAAGCCAGCCTCACACGTGCACCCATGGCCTTTCCAGCCCAGCAACACCTTGTGACAGGTAGGATCACCTGCGGCACCACCTCCCCAGGAGACAGGAGGCCGCACAAAGCACCTGATTTTCCTTGCCTGCCTGGCGAGGTCCTGGCTGCAGGGCTGAGGCCTGTGTGCACATGGGCTCCCACTGGTGCTCAACGGCACATACATTCTTAGCACAACCCCATTTTTTCCTGGAACCCAAATCCACACTTCCCTACTCACCACCTTTACACACAGAGTGTAAAAGACACAAGTCCCAATGAATAAAGAAAACATAACACACGGCACGAACGCGACAAGTCACTTGCAGCTCCATTTCTCTCATCCTCAGCCCTCTGTGAGCCCTTAGACGGAGCAAACTGGCCCATCGTGAGAACATCAACAGAGACCCTGGAAAGCTGGGCACGACCTCACTGAGGGGCAGTCACCAAGCTGTTGCTCAGCACATCACATGGCACGTGCTCTGGGAGCCCCCACTGGACAAGAGTCTCTCCAGGACCAGATCTGGTGTTTCTGTGATCAGGACCGTTGCATGAAAGGCCCTGGGGACTCCGGTTCATGGGTCAGGACTAGGGAAATCAACACTTAGCAAGGTGCCCAGGTGAGATTCTAATGCTCAGTTTAGCCAGAGGACCCCCTGGGTACACACTGTGTGTAGCTCGCTTTCTCAGGTGCTGCCACTCCAATGTCTGGCCACGTCGGTACAGCCAGGGCCCTTCTTAAACAGCTGCAGTGCATCCCAACATAGGGAGAAAGCGGGGTCTGTCTAATCCCTGGCCATACAATCAGCTCATCGCTAGTTTCTCACCATTGTAAATGATGCCACAACAAACACTTCTGCTCGCACAGCTCTTTGCACGCTTGTTTGAGAATTGCTAATTCCCAGGATGCATACAAACGCTGGGTTAAAATGGGCACTCATCTTAAACTGCCCTCCAAAAAGCAGGTACCAAGGGCACTGCCTCCCCAGTCTCGGGCTCGAGCAAACTCCCCTTCATTCCTCAAGCTTCCACACGGTGCCACCTCCTGTAGGCAGCCTTTCTTCTGTGACTATCCGGGAAGGTTGAGTGTCTCTTCTGTAAGGCTGGCCACCTCATCACATCACTGTCCACAGGTTCCCACCACCATCTACTATCCCCGTCCCAGCAAGATGGTCTAGAACACAAACGGGGGCTACAGTCTAGCTGGCTCAGCATTTCAACGCACCAATAGGTGCTCAACCATCTTGCTAAAATGTAAGGAAGCAAAATGGCAATCAATTTAATCAAGACTACACGAAAAGGTTCAGTTCCCAAAGGGACCACTCTGGGGCTGAAGGTCCATGGTCAAGCCTGGACATCACCCCATTTCTGGGCGGCTGGAAGCCTGCGGGAGGGCACACCGTCATCACTGGGCAGGAAGAAGGGACTCCCAGGGCTTTGAAGTTGATCCCAACGAGCACCACAAGGTGGTGCTAGAACCCCACTGAAGTCCGTCGCTTCCCAGGGCCCACCTGTGGCCAAGGACCTGGGCTCCTCCAGCCAGAGGACACAGAAGTGCTGGTGCCAAGCGGAGGCTGCGTCCACAGAGTTTCGACCTCACCATGTGTTTCTGGAGGAGAAGGTCGTTTCTCCTCGCCCCCCGGAAGCCAGGACCCTCTCCCATTACCTCTGCATGCTGCAGGGGGCACTCAGGGGTGTCCTCGTTTCCTCCTTGATGGGGCCGTCGTCCTTGTCCTCCTTGGACTCATCCTTCACCCACTGGTGGTTTGGGAAGAAGTCCTTGCATTTCCCATTGTGTGGCTCCAGGATTCGTTTGGGTGGCCGGGGAGGTGGGGGGACGTGCTCAGGTGGGGGCTCCAGGTCCTCGTGGGAAAGTTCCTTCCACTGCTCCTGGAAAAAGCCGCGAGAGGGGGTCCCATCAGTGTCACGCTCAGCTGACCTGTCAGAAATCGGCTCCTGTTTCAGCGAGTACAGGCGATGGCTCGCTGAAGGAAGGGCTCCCTCCGCTTCTCAGGTCTCCACACACACTTGGAAGGTGAAATCTTTTGAAAATAAAGTCTATTCTCCCTATTAATGTTTCTATGTGCCCACTTCAAAGGCAGACACTGGAACCCGGTGAACAATTCCACAACTTTCTAGCTATTTAAACATGAAGGACAGCTATTTGCTCTGACGCATGACAGTGTTTGAACTTTGACAACTGACAGCCCTCTTTGTCAGAGACAAGAACTGAAAATGACCACGCCTGTGAAAACAAAAGCAATGCTGACCTGCACGGAAGAGTCTCCCATGATGAATTTGGCACCTTCGATCACAGCCAGGTAGGAGAAACGGAGCTGGTCTGCGGTCTGGATCAGTCCCATCCGAAATTTCCTCATTTCTAACAGAACTTTCTTGATATCAACAGACGAAGGGTCTTTCCTTTTGTCCATCTGAAAGCCAGAGAGGAGACACACTGAGTCAGCCCTGGCGCTCCAGCACCTACTCAGGGAAAACCAGGGCAGGGAAGGCAGGATTCTAGAAGATGTGGGCAAATGCAGCCAGGCCTGGCCCATCTGAGCACAGGGGAAAGAATGAGGCACAAGGGGGTCTTTGGATCTTGCTGGAATCCACTTTAAAATTAAGAATATCCCTCTGAACAAAGCTATTATATTTGGCATAAAGTATTTTCATGGGAGGGAAGTTGTAAAAAGGGAAGACTGAAGCTCGTTTACTGCAGAGACAATACAGAGGAGCTGTGGCCAGGCCAGAGCAGAGGTTTAAATGTGGTCCTGTCTCTTCCTGGGGTTTTCAAGGGCCTCCTTACCAGCAAGAGACACGTGTCGGCCAGACAGAAGGTCCCCGACCTGCCGATGCCGGCGCTGCAGTGCACCACGATGGGCCCGTGCTCCTGGCTGAGTGACCCCGACTCACGAACTTTGAAAAGAAAGTTCAGGAACGAGGCTGGCGATTCGGGGACTCCAAAGTCAGGCCACGTGGTATAGTGAAAATGTAAGATCTCTCGAGTTTCTTTAGACTGAAAGAGAAAAATACTCATGGCGATTCTAAGAGAGCATCATCTGTACAGAAATCATGAATTCCGAGTCAGCACGAAGTGCCTTTCCACCCATTCGCTCTAAGAGCTCTAATTCTTGGCCTTTGTCCCAGGGGCCGTGCACCCCGTCCACACACAGCAAGCATGGAGGTGCCGGGCGCCATGCTCCACACTGGACTGCAGGCTGCTCCTGCTCTGGCTTCACTTCCATTAGGATGAGCCAGACTCGGTCCCTCTTTTCTCCAATGTCCCTTTCACCTCTGCTGTCGTCATAGTTACAACTGATTTCTCTCTGCTCCACAATGCTGCTGCATCGCCACACATGGTAACCTTGTCATAAAACAGCACACAGTTTCACACCAAAGAGTGAAAAAGTAACTGCGTGTGTGTGGCATCAGCTCTGGGGAACTCAGGGCCTCACAAGGACTGCTATCTTAGAGAAAAAAAGCAATCAACTCGGTTTCCAAAGACTGGAGGTAGCCACGTGCAGCTCAATACCCCGCTAAACAGACGGTCCCTGAGCTGACTTCACTTGAGCACTGAGCACATTAGCTCACGGCGTTCTCACACCAGTCCTTCAAGACCCGTATGGACTCCCGTTTTCCAGGTTAGGAGACTGAGGCTCGGAGGCCAACCCTCCAGTAAGTGGGGGAGGAGGAGTTCCAGTCTGTTTGCTTGACTCCAGAGCCTGTTGCGGTAACTTTTGAAAGGAAGACCCTGGCCTGTGTCCCTAAGGGTTCCTCCCTCTGGCCCAGACCGCTCCCCGTGAAGCAGAAACAAGAGTGGCCCTGGTGCCGTGTCTAGCCCTACTCCTTCCTCTGAGCCCACGGGTCCACTCCTAGAGTGGACATCTGGTCTCCAGCAGCAACAACCAACATGCAGCTCTCACCAGGAGGAGGGCACGCCAGGTCTTTACTAAGCTACGGGCACAGAGCAGACAGGAACCAGTCACTGGCTGTGTAAGGCCTGCAGGCCTTGCTGAAGTGGGCACAGGAACCAGGTTGGAAGGTAAGGAGCCACGTCAGGCTTGAGTGTGTCCTGCAGTGCGGTGCCAAGGGCCACGGCAGTGCCTAGGGCATCTGGAGAGCAGCTGATGGAGGAGGCTTTGGCCAGGGACCCGCTTACCAGCACTGCCTTCCTTCATTTGGCAAATGTCCACAACGTGCCTATCATGTGCCAGGGACCATGTCCTCCCAGCGCTTACAGCTCAGTTGTAACACCTTCTCTAGCCCTAGTGTGATGAAAATGTGTGGAAGGGCCTCTGAGACACACCAACGACCTAGCATCAGAAAAGCACACACACATTCGCCCCTGCCCCAGCTGTTACATACACTGGTATCTTTCTGTAGGACTGGGAGCAAGCTGCGTGTGACACTGGGATAATTTAGAGAACCATACTCAGCAATTCCGTTCTTTCCCCTCTAGAAAATGATTTCCTAATCCTTTAATGGCTTAAGAGAGCAATGCCTCTTCTATTTTGGGGGGAAGAAAAGCACTTCTAGATATGTTCTGAAAACCGAAGAAGAAGAAAACATGCCAAAACTAAGTTCTTTCTTTTAGTCCTGAAGAAGGTGTGCCCGGGTTATCTCCTGTGCATGCCCTCCCTCGCGCCTGTCCACCTTTTTCTCAAGGGATTCATTCTAGACCTGCGCTTGAGCAGATACACGTGTCTAAGGAAGACTGTTTAAAAACAAAGTCAAGGCCTCCAAGCAGCGGTCTTTGCTCCGCCCCCCAGACAGCAGCAACCTCTTCTGCTCGGTCCGAACTTCATTTCCCTCAACAAGCAGGAGAAATAGTCTCAAAAGTTTACCAGAAATCACTCTTAATATTTCAGGCTTGCAAATGCTAAAAAACACGGAAAAAAAGTCTACTACATAATCCTCCAGGCACATTCCAGCCTATTGCCAATATTCCTGAAAATCCTCCATCAAACCTCTCCATAAATCACTCCCTGAGAGCCTCAGTGCATGACTGCGGTGGGGCTCATGGCTCCAATGCTGGGAGAGGGGGAGAGAGAGGGAGAGGAGACACTCAGATAAACCCCACTGCTGCATTCCTCAAAAGCCGCGTGGTTTTAACCTGCTCTCCACTTTGTAGTAACCTGTGCTCAGTTCTAGATCTGACTTCAGCTATTAATTCCACAACAGGAGTCATGATGACAAAAGCATCTAGAATGCGAATGTAACTCAGAAGCAGAGCCTTACTCCTCAACACGGCCTCGCCAGCCCCGATCCACACGGCCTCGTCACTGCCCCTCCTTCACTTGGGACCGGTCACCTGTGCTGCTCCTCCAATGACCCCACGTGCCTTCACACCCCACGGTACTGCTAACCCCTCCCAAGCACGTGCTCTGGGCCTGGTGCTGCTCTTACACTTCACAGTATTACCTCCTCCAACCCGGCTGAGGAGGAAACTGAGGCATCATGAGCTGTGATGCCCCTTGCCCAAAGTCCGACAGCTCTACGTGGTGGGCCAGGGCCAACCCCAGGCACTCTAGTTCCAGAGCGTAGTGGCTGACCACCGCGTCTACGGCTGTCCCCAGGGGCTGCCTTGAGCTCCCTCTACTGTTCCCGGTACTGGCATGGGCTCCTCAGAGTGACGGCTCCAGGTGTGTGTCTCAGCAACCTCACGGGCAGGGGCTTCTGTGGCGCTGCTTCCAGCACAGGGCCTCGCCATGTTCCAAGGCCATCTTTTAATGACGGCCAGCAGTTGGTATTATAAATCCTTCCCACAACAAATAAACCCAAGACCTCACCTAGAAAACTTACGCTGGCTATGAAACGGGTCAGCCCTGGAAGGGCCCCTCTGGCCCTCCCTTCAGACGAAAGGCAGCACGCTCTGCTGGTGTTTAACTGGCAGGCTGCCCCTTTAATCCCTCTGCAGTTACAAAGGCAGGAACAGGTAAGTGTTACATAAGAAACTCCCTTCTCCTAAGAGCTGGTGTTAACCAGTGTTAAAGTTTAGAGAGAGAGAGAAAGCTCTGTAGCAAAGGAGGTACCTAAGACCCTCCTCCCAACCCCCAGGCGCCCCTTGTCGCCTGGTAAGTAAGCAGGTAAGCTCTGTTCACCATAGTGCCAAAACCTCACCTTGCTCAGAGTGTACAACACCCGGAAAAGGTGGCGTTAGGTAATGTCACTCAAGGGAACAGACACTTCAGCCATTAACCGTCTGAGTACTTAAGTGCATGCCATACTTACTGTGAGGTTTTCCAATTCTAGTTGTCGTACTGTATAATAGGACTTAATATCTTCAGAGATCAATGTTAATTTCAAGTTTGTATCTTCAAAGAGCATTTCTTTTTCTTCTTTTTGTGGCCAGTACTGTGCACATTTTAACTAGGGGAGAGAATAACGCCAAATTATTGTGAGCAGCTGCCGTTTTCCTATGACAGAAGGTTCACAGTACCTTCTAGAAGGTTTATGACACCCAAAGGCCTGGGCTTTTCTGACCTCAGAAGTCACCATCCGCATAACCTGCCTGCCTCTGGGGAGAGGAGGGGCAGCCTGTGAAGATCCAGCCAGGACTAGGGCACATAGGGCGTAGACTTCCAAACCCAGCAGCCCCCCGGTAATCCATACAAGGAGGTGTTTCAGGGGTACTCCTTTCCCTATCATCTACAAGGTGAAGGCAGATTGCACAAAAGGTTGAGTCTCTCACAAACTACTTTATGTAGCCATTTCAAAGATTGTCAAGAACCTGATCAGTGCTGTGGCATAGTGTAGACCCCTTACCCTGGGGGAATAACAGGCTAACTGAAAACAAGACTCGAAGAGACTCCATGTGCAACACTCTGAAAGGCTGAAGGGCTGTAATCAAACGAAAACTATTTAGAGAAGGCTTGCAGCTGGGCTCCTCCGAGGCCTGTGATCACCCACTGCTCATCCCACCTTTTCACTCTGGTTTCATTCAGTTCAGAAAAACACATTTGATGTTCTAGTTTCCTAATTTCAGGAACTACTAGATGGTCTGGATTTAAATTAACATAAAGCAAGCAAACGCCCAAAGATTTGGCTTCGTTTAGTTTAAGAAAAAGAATTTGACTCAAGTGTTGTGGCATACTTTACTTGAGCTAAATTTCAGCGCCAGTTGCCTACAATTTCTACTTGCTGATGACTGTAATGGACAAAACAGCAGGTGGAGGGGGGCTGCAGGGTCTATGAGCCAGAAGGACTGACAATGTGCCGAGACAGGGGACCTCACGGATGTTACTACTTCCATCAAATGATCCATCAGTGTGTGCAAACAGCTCTTTGGGAAATGGGACAAACTCAAGACGCTTGTAACTGAAAATGCATTCGCCCACTCCACACCTCCTCTGAGGCAAAGGGAGACTGTGCCTGAAATGCCCGGTAGGTGGAAGGGGGCCCTCCAGGGCCAGCGTGTCTGTCAGGGGAGACTGTTTATGACCAGCAGTGACAAGGTGGCCTGCTGAGGAGGAGACGCTGTGGCTGTGCCTTGGGAATTCAGAAGATGTTAATGTTTCCAGCCGGCCGAGGTTACGGCAGAGATCAGAGAGGGCTCGATGGAAGAAGCGGCCTCTGACACAGGCATGTTCGGAAAGACGACTAGGGTTTCCTAGGCAGCGAAGCCGTGTCAGAGGAGCCATGGGAGACAGGGCCAGTGGAGGCCAGACACAGCGACTCTAGGGGCCGGCGCGGGGACCTGTGATATCCCCTGGGCACTGAGGAGCCAGTAGGCTCCTGAGGAAGGGGAAGAGGGCACAGGTGCCCACTGGTTCTGTTCTACTGAAGCAGCACACTGCCCGAGAAACAAGACAGGGGCAGAGACAAGAGACAAATCAAGCAACACAGCATCCAACTTCCTGGTCCCAAAACAGAAGGCTAATGGGCTTTCTAAAGAGCCTGGACACAGGCCTGTGTGAACATGTGAGCCAGTCTCACCCATGTCACCTCTTCACATCGAGGATGAGCTTCCAAAGACGAACCCCTGGAATGCGGCCAATCGGTCAGCATGGCGGCAATTCTGCCAGTCGGGACACAGAAGCATTAATGATGGTAAGATCCCACACTTAGCCAAAGTGGGTGGGGCAGCTGGAAGCAAGACTTTCAAAGACCTTTAAAGGATGCATTTATTCCCATACTTCAAATCATCAGACCTGTGTAATTCCTTAAGACCCCAGAAACAAAGTGACTGTCGGGTATGGTCAAAACCACGTGTGCTGGAGTGGGCATTCAATGCGGCAAGCAGAGAGAGTGGGGCAAAGAAACAGACACAGAATGGCCAGATGCCACTGCAGAAGAGACCAATGTTTTCATGTCTTGTGGGTAGGGAAGGCACGTCTTTTAAATCCCACCTCCACACTCCTTTCCAAAACTGAATATGAAGCCTAATAAAGCTCTGTAATCTGGGTACAGACCAAGACTTTGGAACTCTACAACTGAGGAATTCTGGCAACGCTAAGTGTCAGTCAGCTGATGTTTATTTTCGAGAACTCTTAGGCATCTACAGTAACATGCCATGCTCCGCTCTGGCATTTCCTGTAGACAATTTTGTTTTAAGCACACAAAACAAAAAAAATAAGCACAAGATCACTGCCTCCTCTTATCCTATTAAACTGATACAAATTGACCTAAACAGGAGATTTATCTCATTAAAAAGCAGTCTTTCACCAGGATTCATATTGGGGCACCAAACAGCAACGTGGCAGTGTTGTCATAGGCACTGCTACTGCCACAAAGGTGGATGTGAGAGAGTCCTTGGCAATCTTAGGAACAATCTGTGAAAGTCATCTGAAGTGACCCTGTGACGGACGATGTGGCTGTCCCAAAGAACGATGAACACAAAAGTAAGCAGAGTACAAGAGAGATGGATGAGGCCTGAGGTACCTATGATACAAAATCCAGAGTCTCAAGCACAGAAGCGCCCGAAATATAATAGCATCTTTAGGAGAGGTTTCAGGAGAGAGGCACAGGTGACACTTCTGGACTAGTGAGTTAAACGCGCCTTGTGTGTTTCTCCTGCCTAAATGACAATCCTGACCCTAACATGTATAACGCATTCCACATGGACAAGTCTAAAGTCAACATGGAAATCAAAACCAATGAGAAGCTCGGCCGTTTGGCGGACCACAGCCTAACATAATCATTTTCTGCACAACTGTTTTTTAGGAAGCATGGGGTCCCAAAAGGGTAACAGGCAGGTTTGCCAAAAATAAGAGGACATCCTACACTATTTGGTGAAGGAAGGAAACCAGAAAACAAATACGCAGTAAATGGAAACGCTCTGTAAGCGGGTTTTTACCGGGGGCTGTGTGGCTAGTTTATAACTAGATCAGCTGAGCACATAAGACGCTGCCACTTGTTATAGCTTTTCCCAGTCAGCCTGTATAAGGGTGATGATGTTGATGCTGAATTGAAAATGTCAAACCATATGTGGCTTTTCATGCCAATTTTCATGCCAAATGACCCTGAGTGAAAAGAACAGTTATAAAGGAAAATAGGGACTACTGTCCCGTTATCACAGGGAAGTACAACAAAACCAACTCGCCATGTTTTTTTGTGGCCAACATAGCAATCCAAGGAGAGAGACTGTCACAATAGATCCATGGTCCACGTGTGGTCAGCCGTGGGCGGGAGACAACCAAGAGCAAGGCCTGGTGACGGACACGTGACTGCAGCACTCCTTGTACTGTGACAACAGCAGCTAAACAAACCATGTGCAAGTAACAGAGGTTTCACTTGAACTTTTAGCAACAAATAAGCAAATGCTACTATAGCTGATGATTTTTGAATAAAGAAGTCTAGATTTTAAAACTTCCAACCCTTAACACCATTTAGAACAGTGGTTTTCAGCAGAGGACAATTCTGCCTCCCAGGGGACCTCAGAGAGACATTTTTGGTTGCCACAACTGGGGGCGAGTGCCACAGCTATCTTGAGGGTGGAGGCCAGGGATGCTGCTAAACACCCTCCAATGCACAGGACGCCCCCACAGAGTGATCCGGCCCCAGTGCCCACAGCACCCTGCTGAGACCCTGCCGCTGACCTGCACCGCATGCCCTCGCCGGCCACCAGCTTTCACTTTCCCTCGCGGAGTGTGTGCGGTGGGAACCTGATGTTTTGTTTCTTTATTCAAAATTGCTGACAAGAGTGGTGACAGGTGGGGGTTGGCGGCAACTTCACATTTTACTAATCAAGCCACTGAAGCAGAAAGAATTAAAAACCACTTCCAATGAGAACATTTTTTTCTAAGCAGCATTATTTCATCAATTGAACACTCAGGTAAGCTCTTTATTATTATTATTATTGAGCAAAGAAGTACATTCCTTTAAGAAGAGGGGACAGAGGCCAAATACATGATTTTAAACATGTGCTGTGGTAAGAGGACTATGGGCCGTGAGTAATCGAGGCTGTTTCTTTTGGGGGTGGGGGTGGGGAGCAAACAGGCTTTGTGGGGAATGCCTCCTGTTTTCACTGCTCAAAGTCTCCTCCAATGTGTTAGTTCTTTGCCCTTTATTTTTACCCCTCAGGGCCACCACTGTGCTTTCTTTGGAGGGGTGGCTTCTCCGGAGCCCTCATGTTCTTCTGTGTCCCGAGGCGGCCACAACAGCTGTGAGAGCAGTGCTCAGCCGAACCCCGGAGAGCACAGTGCCAGCACCTTGCCAGGCCTGGGCCACACGTTCCCACTGGTCTCTGTAATCCTCAGCTCTCCTCCTGGGGCCTCACCTCTGATGTTGGAGAGCCCCAGAAGTGCCAGCGGTGTTGGGGAAGAGGGAAGGCCCGGGTAGCAGAGATGTGGCATCTATTCGCTATGTTGAATGCCACACTTGTGCCAGGCGCATGTGCAGCCTTCATAGGAGACAGGCCTTTGACAGGCCATCCGGCAGAGTGAGCTGTGTGGCAAGCAAAGGACAGCATGTGCCATGGCTGACCAGAGGAAGCAATCTGAGGACCACTGGAAGGAGGGTGAAGGGTATGCACTGTGATTCCGATCCTTAGCCCAGAGAACATGGCAAGAAGGCAAGAAAAAAGATCGGTTCTGACTGGAGTTTGCGGTTGGAGGTGGGAGAGGGGTCCAGGATAGCGAGGGCGCAACCTGCAGCCACCCTGACATATTACTGCGAGGCAGTGGGGAGTCCCAGGAGGGCTTTCAGCTGGGAAGAGGTGTGGTGAGGCTCGGTTTATAAAGATCATCTGAGACTCAAGGTCAGAAGAGAGGGGAACAAGTTGAAAGGTGGCGAGTAGAGGCGTAGCTAAAGGGACAGATGCACGCAGGGTGATGACCTGAACAAACACCTCTGGTCCACATACGACCCCAAGCGATGTTTTAAGAGTTGCACAGAACTTGGAAGAAAGGATGCCACAAATCCTGAAGTAAATGCACAGACAATATCCACAGTGAAGAGAGTGGCCGGGAGCTAAGGCTGTTCCCACAGCCAGAAAAGCCGGTAAGATGAAGACACAGCAGACGCTGGCTTTTCAGAAGAACTCTGTGCCCACGCAGCTCCATGATGCAACGGCAGCTGCGCAGCAACACAGGACGGGGGGCAGTGGAGCACACGCACCAAACCGAGAGGCTCACGTGGGGCGGGTAACGGGCCAAGGGCAATTTTACTTTTCCCTCCTTTTAGTTCACTTACTTATCTGACTTGTTTACAATAAACATGTATTTATACAGTGCTTCTTTAATTTTTTTTTTATACAAAAGACACTATGTAAAAGCAATATAAAAGCAATTTAAAGAAATAAACTGGTAACTTTGTGGACTGATACATGCGCAGACAGTGATATAAGAGCAGATAAAGGCATGACTTACCGATCCTTTCTCCATCACTCTGTTGAGCATGACCACGCCCCTGCTTTTCTGCTCCCACACCATCTCCCAAAAGTGACCACACGTATTAGGCAAAGGGCCCTGCAAACACACAACCCACAAAGTGCATGCCATTTACACATAAACGACTCCAGTGTGAGCTCATCGTTGGCATTAGCGGACGACAGTGCCCTGAGGCAGGGTGGTGGCACAGGGTGGGACCGAGACCCAAACCTCCCTGCCTAGTGGTCAGTAACCACAGTTCTATTTTCTAACATATGGTGAAAGGTCACTTCCGCATCTCAGGGCTGACCAACGGACAGAAAATGCTGATTTTGCTTTCTGCTTTGGCCTGGGTGCCTGACGGACTCCACAAGGATCCATCCCTGAGGGTGGGTGGGATGCTGGGCAAACCTACTGGGTGCAGGTGACAGGCAGTATGGGGAAGTGATCAACAGGGACGCTTCTGGCAGTTCAGGTCACAGCTCCGCTCATTTATCTGTGTGACCTTGGACAAGTCACTTCACCTCTCCCATGCCAGTTTCTCCACTTATCTCACTTGATTCATCATAGCACCCACTCATAGGGTTTTGAAAATTTACTATGTTCACACATATAAAGGCTTTCCCACAGTACCTGGAACACAGTAAACAACCAATAAAATGTTAGCTATTATTATTACTATTAATAATGTAAGCCTGACCAAGGCACATAAGGGATGTGGACATAAAAATGGTCAGTCAGGTGGCCCAACATGTCACTGGGGCATTGTGGGGCGGGGGGGGGTGGTGAATGCCAAGCAGCCGACATGGCAATGGGCACAGATGTTTACTGGATACCAGGGTACAAAGGCCTCAATTTTTACTATGGCCTGGAAGGGACATCACCTATCACCTCACCAAAATGGTTTCCATTCTCACCTATTTTCATCCAAATTTTCCTTATTCTTTGCATGTTCTCCCTTTGAGTCTCGCCACACTTTCCTTGCCCATGCAAACCCTCAGTGCCCTCTACTTTCTTCCCTGAACTCATCTCGGACTTGCTGCCTGAACCAAAAAGCCTGCACTCCACATCCGTGCTGTAAGATGCAAACAGGGATTGCGTGTGCAACCCTGCCCCCAGCCAACAGAAAAATGGCTCCGGGAAGGCAGGAAGTATGTTGCCTCTTGGCTGGTCAGCTGGGCCTTTTGTCCTCTGCCCCAGGCACAAGGACCCCATCACGGGGTCTCCCACAGCTGCAGCTCTCTGTGGCTTTCTACCCAACATTACCCCAGTTTAGAATGGGTCTAGGGGTTAAAAATCACATCAGGTCTGGAAGGATACACACCAATACTTCATGAAGGAGGTGAAGGTGGGCCCTTCTGGCCTTATTCTCTACACTTCTATACCTCTGGGTTTTTTAAAAAAAATAGTAAGACTATAGACTTGTGTTATTTGCATAATGGACGAAAATAAAAAATGGATAGGGTTTTCTTGGCATTGTGGCTTGGAAAATGTTTCAGTCATACTGTTAGGGGGTGCAACTTTGGGGTTAGGCTGCTTCAATCCCTTTTGTAAATCCCAGGGCAAAGGGAGACCATGTCAGCAGCCAGATACATCCATGGTACCGCCTGACAAAACAGACAGAACTTCAGATGTGCCAAGTAATGCTAGGGCATGGGGTGCAAAAGTTTCCATGGTGATTTCCTAATGCTATATTCAACTTTATACACCCAATCTGTCTTTGCTTTGGGCTTCCTGACCCCACACCAAAGCTGAATGGCTGAAATCAGGAAGAAAGACTTGATTTCTAAAAAGAGAAGTTCCCACGAAGCCACTTTTGCCTCAACCTCTTCCCAGCAGCTTGCCACCACTGGGGATCTCCCTCCTTGTCACCCCACCCCAGCCTACCCCAACCACCCCAGATGTGCTGTGAGGACCATGGGCTGAGAGCCTGGTAGAGGCCTGCCCCTCCTCACACACCTAGAGCTTACTCAGCAGCCCCCAGAAGTGAATGCTGCATGGCTGATGGCCCGTACACGGGCTGGGAGGCCTCTGGGTTGGTTTGGGTCATGGACGGAGACGAACTGGGACAGGACAAAATGGGGCAGCGAAGGGGGCCACGGTGATCATGCCCTTGTCCAGCTTCCTGACCCAAAGCAGCTTTTGTTCATAGTGTTCCTGGCTTCACCATCATTTTCATTTCAAAATATTAGGCAGAATTATGTTCAAAACTTTTCTATAACCCAAAGCCATATATAAGATTGCTAAACTGATATGGAATGAGAAAACAAAAATTATGATTAAAAAAAGAGAGAGAAACATAGATTGTTTAGACTATTTACAGGTAACAGATTATGATTTGAGAAAATCAATCAAAAAGAAATGTCTTTATCCCATTCCCAGATACCCACTGCTTTGGGTCACATACCAGTAAGCGTTTCACAAGAAGGTCAATTATTAAACCACTTTTATGACTTTTTTCCATAAAGATGCCAAAAGCCAATGGGAATTTTAAGTGACTTTGCATCCTTGTTCATGTAATCTAGAGATTTTTTTTCTGGACCAAAGAACGAGGACCGTGCCAAGGAATTCTGGATGGATATCTAGACAAAGGCTCCTGGTCTACTGCTAATCCTCAGATTTCCTAGAGAAGTACCCAGAGCTCTGAGGCAACTACTTAGGAAATCAATAGACGTACAGGCCCTTCTCTAGCCAGGGAACTGCTGCCTCTGTCAACAGGCCATAGGCAATTCTGCCATTTTACTGCTGTTTTTTATAACCCGGCAATGTTGTACTTCCCAGAAGAGATGAGTGTTACAACCCAACGGCATCTGGGAAGGAGGCTTTCCCCCTACCTTGCTTTTATGGGTTGTTTAAAGCCTGACCTTCTAAAGGATGTGGCAGATTTTATTTGAGGTGTAGATAACAGCACTCTTAAACACTTAAATAGTCATCAAGGCAAAAACCATTAAAAACAATTTCAGACAAGCCTGGGTTTACCTGGGTAAGAATGTAACTTCTTTGGGCTTCTTCCATTTTTATCAAACTAGCATTGATATAGTCGTTATCTTCTTGATGCAGTTTAATCCGGCTATGGTCAACTGAAAGGCAAAGCAGAACTGAGGTTAATCCTGGAAGGCCCAAGAGTCTACACAGGCTGTGCACCCCACTGGGAAAGCAAAGCCGGTGAGTTGGTGGCAGTGAGGGCGTTCACACTGGCTGAGGCTGCACTTCTGTAACTCAGATTAGTCATCAATATGGGGATGACTAGTACTTTCGGGAAGATTTCTGGAGTGTTTGAAACTTAACGCTAAATAGCAACTGAGATAAACTACACTAAAACATGGATTCCGTCCTATTTGGGGAACCCGTTCTTAGGTCATATCTTCCAATGACACTTATTACTGTCCTCACAACTTAAAGTTGGTAGGCTGTGGGAGAGGGGGTGTCAAGATATCTGTCCTTTGATGCCTAATACATACTTTTACAGGGTAAGGTTTACGAGCACACTTCAACTTAACCTACATGTAAAGGTCTGAAGATTAAATGACCTGAGCATACAACAGTGTGAAAAGTCACACCCTGAATTCCTTTGCACAAGGTTCTTTAAAAAGTTCAAGTATAACATACTTAAATGATTCTAAATCTTCCAAAGTCACGACCTGTCAAGGTCAAAGACATTTAAGAGAGAGTTTAACTGGAAAAAATAAGCGTTGAATCCAAAACACCGAAAGTATATGAAATGTAACTTTCAGAATAGTTTTTAAAAATAAACACTCATTTGGAAGTTCTGCTCAGGTTACTGAAAAAGCATGACCACTTTGTTTTCCTTTTACCATGACTTTGTCACAAAAGCAATGGTTCCCTGAGGGACACTTTGCCTATCCTGCTAGTGCAGCTAATAAGAGCAGGTGAATGTTTTTATTTCTGGTACAACACAAGGGATGGTGAACTCCGGTGACGACCCATAAATAGTATCTTCTCCCCCAGCCCAATGGGAAAGGAGAAGTTAGTGGGGATAAGAAGTTTGGGGCTTTTTGTTCTAAAGGATTCCAAAGAGATGTTTTTGAAAAACAGCCACTGTTTGGAATATGGTTTCTCATTGTGGAGGGGTCATACAAATTGAAATACTCGCATAATATTTAAGGGGGTCACAGAGATAAAAGATCTCAAAAAAATTCTGTGACTGGTGTTGGTGGGTTATGTGAGCAGGTTTAAACGCACTGGGTGACCGTGGGGAACAATTCCTCCTTGGAGCATTGGGTTTTCACTTGTCAAATGGATAAGATCCCCATCTACCTTGAATCATTCTCCCACTACTCTTTATAACCTAAAAAGCAAATTCCTTTTTCTACTGGGGCGTGGAGGTAGGCAAGAAAAGAAAAAATATAAGGAGATTACAGGTGAAAAGTTTGGGAATGATTCCCTGGAAAAATATTAAAATGCTTTTTTCCCCTCTAAAACTGGAACATAAAACCACGTAGGTTCATAAAACCATAAAAACATAAAACTGAGCAAAGATGTAGAAAAGGAATATTGAAGACAACATTAGTGCCTAATTCAGAGCCAGTGCAGCAAAAGCTAGAGACCAAGAGTATCTGCTGGCACTGGTGAAAAATGTGAACAGTGACTGCTCTGAAGCTCAGGGCGGCTGGTCAGGACTTCACAGCAGAATCACTAGAGGAGAGGTTTTTATAAAAATTAAAACCTCTGAAGTGCCACAGCCTAGGCATGCTAACTCAAGAGTGTCAGGTGTGGGGGCACAATCACGTATCGCTCGATAACCTAGAATTGCACGTAGATATCCCGGGTATGCGCCTTCAGTTAACGCCCATCTCCAGCATCACTGACATTTACGAGTGAGACACTGGGCTAAGTGTCTAAGGTTATTTTATTTCATTTTACACAATCCTCTGAGATCGGTGTTACTTCTGTTTTATTGAAGGTCAGAAAACAACTTGCCCAAAGCCACACAGCTGTTAAGTGGCAGGCTGCGATGCAAACTCAGGCAGGAGCTGTGGCGGCGGTCAGAGGCAGACTGCTCTGTCCCAATCTGGGGCCATTTCTACTCCTCTCCCAGGAAGCTGGGCACTGCTGACTCTCCTGCAGAGAGCACCGAAAGCCACCACCCACAGCCACGGGCACAGTGTGCTTTAGAAGGCAGGCAGAAAGTGCCCGCTTGAGGAATGACCCACAGACTCTACGTCCCTAGCAGAGAACACTGCCACAGGCGAGGTTGGCAGCTATAACCCAACCCTCACTGATTGACAAGGTCTAAAAACCCTGCAGGTTGAGGCAAAAGGCTTCTGCGGCCTTGAGGAGATGACCAACTTCATGTGCTTTACTCAGTTCCAGCGTGTCTTGCTTTACAGAAATTCTAACACACTGACTTATTTACTTTCAAGATATCCGTAGGTTGAGAGCGAAGTACTCAGAAGGCAGAGGAAGGAGGCTGCCAGAGGCCAGCTGGCAACATGGAGATTGAACGGCAGCAAAGAGCTAGAAATGGCATGATGGCGGCAGGGCGTGGGGTGGGGGGTGGGGGGGACTCCACTAGCGCGCCGACTTGTGTCTCAGGAGGGGGTGAACAGCTCCCACCCCTTAATGCCCGCGCAGGGCATCAGCACAGTTCAGTACAACTCTTGGGGTCTAATAACACTGCTGCTGAGTCATCCAGAAAAGGTTATATTATGCCTACTATACTCTGCTTCAGCTGGTAGGAAAATGATTCATCAGAAAAATAGTCAAAGCTAAAAGAAGTGCTTTGAACTTAGCTTAATTTTCCAGAAACTGAAACCTCACCCCTTCTACAAAGGTGGAAAAATGAACCATTACTATAAGTCTCTAATGCCTTTGTAATAGGAAACTATCAAGTCATAAAGCTCTGTTGCTACTGATTTATTACCAAAGCCCGGGGCTAAGGGAGTCTGGACTGAGAGGCCCTGCCGCTGAGGAAGAAAAGCCCACGCGATGGAAGCGGTGAGACCAGTGAGACCAGTAATGGCGATGTGAATACTTACAGGGACTGACATCTCTGTACCTGTTTCGGTTTTTGTTCTTGGGAAGCTTGGCCACTCTACATGGGAAGTCACTGGCTTCGTGTCGGATATCCTACAAAAAAAGGATAAAGAGTTCTCTTGAAACCTCTGGCATCAGGAATTCATCCAGACACTTAACCAAGCACGGGCTATGTGCCAGGCATTGAGGAAGACCCACTGCAGAAACACATCAAAGGGAGCCAGGCAGCGTGGGAAACTCAAGGTGATAATTCAGTGGCATGTCCAAGGTCATGAGAGGAAAACAGAAGAGGCACAGCCCTATGCCTGGGGTAGGAGGAAGTGGCACGGGGCTGGGGAGCTGGAGCGATGCGGAAGAGGCCAGGGCGACAGCAGGGGTGCGGCATTCCACTCAGGAACACCCAGCTCAGCAACAGCACGGGGGCTGGAGTTCACATTTTATGCAAGTAATAGGAGTGGGCTGGCGGGGAGGAACGACAGATGGCTGGAGCACACAGGTGCGTAGGCCAGATCTTGGAGAGCCCTGAACGCCAGGCCCGGGAGTTCCATCTGTAACCTTTTATAAAGCTACACTTGTTAAGGGCAGATAAAATGCAGTTTTACGCCAATAAACAATCCAACTGCTTTCTTAGGAGATGATAAACAAATCCCATTACACTAAACTGTCAGAAAGAGGACGTGCCTGGATGAACAGAAAACCTGAATTATGCCTTCTGCCAGACTGATCATATACATCTGTATACATCTAACTGTGCCCCCCTAAAATACCACTATAATCACGTAATTTTTTTCTTTTAATTTGTAGTTTATTATTAAAGACAAACCCACATAATAATACGAACACACTTAATGACACTAAACTGTACACCGAAAAATGGTTACAACAGTAAATTCTATGTGATGTATATTTTACTACAATAAAAAAAAAAGACAAACCCACAAGGGGAGAACAGGAGACGACAACCACCACCAAATGTTGGAAGCTGGGAATCAGACTGATTAGTTGTTGGCAAGTCTGAGAAAGCTCAATTACCACCCAGCAGTGGGGAAAGGACGCAGCTACCCTGACTTCCACCCACAGAAGCCCTGGGAGGCTCAGGCATGGTGCCTCTCTGGAAGCTGGGGGTGGGATTCACTGCAGGGGGTCGGATGGAGCTATCAGAGGAGCTGGCTCTCCACCGCCCCCACTGCCTCCCTTCCTGCTGCTGGGTGGCTGCCACCTCAAGCCTCTGCAGAAATCTGGAGATTTTCTGGAAAACATAAATCAGGAGGCAGAGTGCTCTCTAGATGATCTGAGCAGACAAGAGGAAAGACCAAAAGATATTATCACCAGGATGTGCAACTGACAACCCACCTAGAGGCCCCGTGGCCAGATCAGCACTAAAAAGCCTCTTACACCTGCTCAGGGTGCTCAGTCTGCCTTGTAAATTCCTTCTCTTCATCACATGCAGACAACCCCTGGTTACAAAGGGATTTACAAAACCAAAAAAAAAAAAAAAAAAAGATAAAAAATAAAAGGCCCCTTGGAGGAAATAAACTGCAGGAAAAAGAAAGCTTTTAAAATGTATATTAATATATTCAGAAAGATAAGATATTGTAACCATGAATTAAGAACAGGATGTTACATAAAATAAAGTTGTCACCTGGAACTTAGAAACAAGATAGCAGAAATGATAAATGTAATTGAAGAGTCAGAAGATAAAGGTAGAAGAAATGCTCCCAGAAAGTAAAGCCAAAAAAAAAAAACAAACCCCAAAACGACCACAGTAGAAAATTAGGCAAAACAGAATACAAGGAAAGAAAACAAAAAATGGTTCAAGGAAATCTTCCAGATTTCATCATGTCCTCAATCATAATGATGATAAAAACAGACCCATACGAAGCACATTAATTTGCTATTCCAGAATCCTGCAGACAAAGAGAATATTCTATAAGTTTCTAAGAAGAAAAAATAGATGACTTTCAAAGGATAAGGTAATCAGAATGGCTCCTGAGAGCTAGATGGCAACGGAGCCATGCCTTCAGAATTCTGAAGCAAAAGGATTTCCAATCTAGAATTCTGTATCCAGCCCAATAATCATCGAGTGAGAAGGGACAATATAAACATTTCCAGATATGCAAGGTCTCAAAAGCTTTGCCACCCACGCTCCCTTTTCTCAGCAATCCACTGCAGCATGTCTTCTATTAATACTTGAGGGTTCTCAAGAAATAAACCAAGAAAGAGAAAAACATACAAGAGGGAAAAAAAAAAACCTGACACATGAGCAAAAGCAAAGGGAGTTGCCACAAGAACTGTGAAAGGAGTGACAACTATATACAGACCTAGGAGGCACGCAGGCCAGAACAGGGCAGAATGATTCAAGAGACAGATGCGTCCAGAGCATGCCCCTCTGTCCGTGTACCAACTGTGGCCAAAAGAGCCCGAGAAAGTGAAAGAAGACCTGAAATCCAGGAATAGGGAATCCAATTGAGAAAAAAAGCAAAAAGTGTGAAGATGAGAGCTCCTACCGACCAGCCCACCCAGAGAGGAGAGTGGCGGTCTCCAGTGGGGATGTCAGCAAGAAAAAAACCGAAACGTGAAACCAGGAAACCACCTGAAGCTGCTCTGTGCATGCGGCAGCCACTAGTCACATGTGGCTACTGAAACACTTGAGATTTGACCAGTCTGAAAAGAGATGTTGTGTAAAGTGTGAAAATACACTTCGGATGTTGATGACTTAGCACTAAAAAAAGAAAATACCTCAAATATTTTAAATATTACTTGTTAAAGTAACATGTTGAACATATTGGGTTAAGTAAACTATATTATTAATTTCATCTGGTTCTTTTAACCTTTTTCACTGGCTACTAGAAAGCGTAAAAGTGTATATGAGGGTTGCATTGTATTTCTATTGGACAGTGCGAGTGACCTTGTGGAAAATTGTTCCGAGAGGCTACTAGAAGGTATGGGAAGAATTAGCAATAGGCAAATAGAAAACTACGCAAATGAAAAGAGCAAGGCACTTATTAACTATAGAAGAAATTTTAAAAAGGAAACAGTACAACACTATTTGTGACTATGTACATAAGCAAATCATGTAAATAGGCAAATAATGTAAATAATAAATATTGTTTTAACCAAAAAACATGTCGTATTGGGAGGATGGAAGGGGGAGCAAAAGGGAGGAAAAGGAACCGGCTGCTTAAGAAAACGAAATTGAGGTTAGTAAAGGTCTAAATGAATGAATCAAAAGATAAGCATATTCCTTAGAAATACGGAGCTATGGACAAGCTATAATCAGTAGCTCAAAGAGTTGAAAACGTCACTGTGAGGAGAAAAGCCTGGGGGAATGGTCTGCGGTGTAGGAAAGCTGTAATTGGATTTTATTATACACCTACCATGGTACTCTTTAACTTCTTAAGCCATGTGCATATTCAACTTGGGTTAAGAAAGAATGCCCACATTCTGCTATTCTACTTATTTAAAACACTGCAAAGCAGCAGGGAGGAGATTTTGACTCATACTAGAGATAAGCCAATAATTTAAAAGGATGATGATAGATAAGAAACCTACCTGAGATTAAACAAACAATCCAGCAGTAACACACACACATGCGTCATTTACGGATGAGATTAAGCTTTCAGGAAAACGCGACAGGACAGAGCACAGAAAAATAACCTGAAGGAATACAAATCTAAATCTTAAATTTGTTTTTCTATATATTATTGGAAGCATTTAGCAATAGGTACAAATCCTGCCTTGTGGGGTGAAACAATCCGGTTAGTCCAGATGGTGTGACTGGATAAAGGTGCAGGAAAGAATATGGATAAACCACGGAATACGCTGAGTAAATCAAATAAGGGCCAACATATCAACTGCAGTGTGCAACTGACCTCATTCAGACAAAGGATTATTAATATGCACTTTTTTGGTAATAAAGAGAAAGATAGAGAGAGAAAGAGGGAGAGAGAGAGAGAGAAACATGGATATGTCATTTAATAAAGGGAAAAATAAGAAGTATTTAAACAATAGCTTTTTAAAAATAGATTTTCAAATTAAGGTGTACTCATAGAGTAAAATGCACGGATCTTAAGTGTGTAGTTCAGTAAGTTTCTCTAACCAATTTTGAGGTATAATTTACAAATAATAAAATATACCCATTTAAATGTTTCTCTACTTTAGAATGGCATATGGGAAATAAATGCGTGCGCTGAATACAAGTATTTATATTTCATTTTACAAAATAATATGGCAGAATCATAGTCTTAAAATTGAGGAGTGATAAAGTATCTTTAAAATTAAAGATAACTGCCAACAGTGGTTTAGAAGCTGAGTAGACTACTGTACCATAAAACTTCATACAGAATTACAGCACAAGATCGCTGTATTCAAGAATTGTATCAAAGGTAGGCTAACTTTCCAACAGCTAGAGAAAAAGCAGGTTACTCACTAATGAACAAGTGTAAGGTGACTTCCATCCCAAGCATAAAATATCCCTAGAAGACCTTTTATTATGCTGACCTAGGATTAAATAAATCTACTAAGTATATAAAGGGATTTTTTTTCCCACAAAGAGAAAATAAAATAAAGGCCTAAAAGCTAATGATGGGAAGATGAATGGTGGGTAAATTTAGGAGCCAAACCAAACAGGAAATAATAAACTTGCCATGAAACAGGTTCCCAGAAATATGCCCTAAACAAAAACACTGAATATTTCAAGAATCATTCAAAGTACCTCAGTGTTTCAGGAATGGGATGGCACTCATTTAACAAGATAATATGATTTCCCAATGAAAACACAGGGATAACATACTTATAAAGCTTTGGTAACAGAATGAATTAATGCCCAGAGTGAATCAATTTCTGTATTTATTCAGTAAAGCTCATTATCCATTATTCAAATACCTCCCAAATCCAATGAGGCAAAAAGCCAAACTTAGGTTGAAAAGCTGACAATTTGTGATTTGAGATTCCTGTTTTTCTTGAAAACACAGAGGCATAAAAAGCCAGGCCGGCCTTGCAGAAATATTTTCATGTTTATAGTAAGCACTTCATTAAGTGAAGCATAGCAATTTTGGTTTGAACACCCTTTTTAGTCTCACAATTGGATAAAT